TACTTCCTCAGCAGGTATCATGTAAGATTTGAGGAGTGGCTTGAGAGACAGAGACGCTTTTTTTTCTTTTTTAAGGGGGGAAAATCATCGAATGACTGCCCCCGCCTGGGTGAGGCGGGAGGGAGTGTCAGACTCTTACTGACTAAAAACCACCCCGTTCCTTCTCCTGCACGTCGAGCCGGAGCCCCGGTTACCCGTTAGGTTCTCCGCGACTCCGAATCGGCATCGGCCCTGTTGGGCCCCATCTGTGGTGGTCTGATGGCTCTTTGAGGCGTGCGCGGAAAGCGACGCGTCGTACGCTCGGGTCTGTTTTTGGTCGGACGGGGAGCCACCCATGTTCGCCGTCCGCAGGCCCGCGCTTACAGTGGCCGGAGATCGTCCCGCGATCCCTGACGCCCGGTGTGTCCTTCGCGATGGCTGGGTTGCGAGGAGGCAGCGGTTCGCTGACTCACGCGTCCCGCCTCCTCCTTAGCTAGCATGAATGCTTCGCAAAAGGAGGAGACGGCATCCCGGTCCCCCTCGCTCCGCATCATGGCCTGCACTAGGCCCGGACGCGAGAGGTCGCCATCGCCGATTACTTTCCTGAGGGCACGGCGGTGCTCAGCCCAGGATTCGCGCAGAAAAACCCATTTCTGTGATCACCAAATTGTTTCCGTTACTATTACAATCTAATTAATGTATGTGTTAATGCCATTAAAATGCATAACAAAATAAACCCAGACAAACAACAAACAATCTTAAATTAAGCCACTCACAGTTTCAAATCCAATAACTCAGGTACGTAGTTACGGCGGTTCAGCATCAGTGAAGAACTTGGACGAGTCGGATGGCGACTTGGACAAGAAGTACACAAGTTCCTATACTCTCGCGGAGTACAAGCCGCGGCCGCGCCTCACTACCAAATATGCCACTCTGTATGCCGATAGCCTGAACAACTACACACCGCCACACGTTAATACGACCTGTAAGTATTTAAATACATAATTAAGTATATTTAAGTTTATAGTAGATATTCTTTTTTTTGTTTCCTTTCCTTTTAGTTTTTAGTTATTTATATTTTATAATATTAACTAGCGACCCGCTCCGGCTTCAAACGGGTTCAATATTCATGTATTATACATATAAACCTTCCTTACCAATCACTCTATCTATTAAAAAACCGCATCAAAATCCGTTGCGTTGTTTTAAAGATCTAAGCATGCGTAACGACAGATAGAGGGAGGATTTTTTTTTTTAAGAGAGGAAAGTCATCGAATGACTGCTCCCGCCTGGACGAGGCGGGAGGGAGTGTCAGACTCTTACTGACTAAAAACCACCCCGTTCCTTCTCCTGCACGTCGAGCCGGAGCCCCGGTTACCCGTTAGGTTCTCCGCGACTCCGAATCGGCATCGGCCGTATTGGGCCTCATCTGTGGTGGTCTGATGGCTCTTTGAGGCGCGCGGGGAACGCGACGCGCCGTACGCTCGGGTCTGTTTCTGGTCGGACGGGGAGCCACCCATGCTCGCCGTCCGCAGGCCCGCGCTTACGGTGGCCGGAGATCGTCCCGCGATCACCGACGCCCGGTGTGTCCTTCACGATGGCAGACAGAGGGAGGATACCGACTTTGTTTTATATCATGTAGTGATTCTTTTCATCCCATAAAAGTCTAAATTCGAATCATCTTTCAACAGCCGTGCCTCCAGCTACTGCGACCGCTGGTGACGTCACAGGCGGGACGAACCCTGATGTCATCAACTTCATACAGAAGCAGGAGGAGTATATAGAACAACTTGAGAGAGAGAGCCAGTACTGCAGGGTAAGTGGGGTCTGATGAGGAGCATTCTACTGGTCAATTTCAAGCCATAATAGGGTAGTTTCCAGGGTATCAAAATTAAAAATCTACTTAGTCCGTCAGTTAGATAATGAAAAAATATTAGACACGTATTTTTTTATTTTCTCGTATTAAGTTGCAATACTTAGATAAAATGGCGCTAAGTTTAGGAGTGGGAGATCGTTACGTCATAACGTGCTACAAAATGTGACACGCTGTGACGTCATAGAATATTTCAAAAGAGAAAAGAAAAAATACGTGACTAATGTTTTAAATTAATCTATCAGACGGAAATTAAAATAAAATTTAGGAAACTAACCTATGGCGGTTAGAAAATGAAACAAAAGATTTTTACCTTATTTGTATAAAACGCTGTGTCTCGTGTCGTTATTTCTTTTCCTGCCACAGGCGCACAGGAAGAAATTCCAGTAAGAATATGTGGGACCTATGTATTCTGTTTTAATAGTTGTCCTTTGTGTTGTATGTGTTTATACAAGTGTAGTTTTGAAACCGTGGCATTTCTCGGGGGTATGTCACAGAAGTCATAAAGGTTCAATGTAAGAGAAATCTTCGGGCCAATAGTTAAAAATACGGCTGTAATAAATCGTTTAAGTTCAACAGTATTTCAGAATAAGCGACAGCAATGTTTCTTATTGGAGTTTTATGGAATTAGGAATAATATCAATTACGTGTTTGAGTTAAGTGTGTGTTAAGCCGCGTTATAAAACTAGTTACAAGACGGCGGCGTGTAGTTCGCACTTACGTATTTCCGTAATTTACAGAAAAATGAAAAATATTTACCTACAATTTTTTTTTATTGATTCGGGCACAGAATCGATAGCCGAGTTACCTCCTAGAAAATGACGCGGCTTTAATACAACACCTTGAATAAATGAATAAATAAATATTTCGTACAGACAAACTCGATTAAGTTTTCTTCGTTACAATGACAATAGTAACTGTTATTTCTTAACTCGTTAAACGCTATGGGGGTTACTGGTGAACGGTGACTGATATTAGCGGATGGATTTTTTTTTTTATTTTTTAAGGGGGAAAATCATCGAATGACTGCTTCCGCCTGGGTGAGGCGGGAGGGAGTGTCAGACTCTTACTGACTAAAAACCACCCCGTTCTTTCTCCTGGACGTCGAGCCGGAGCCCCGGTTACCCGTTAGGTTCTCCGCGACATTAGCGGATGGATAGGATTAACCTACAACAGTTTTCTATTGTCGGTTAAAGATTTAAAGAGATCGATGGTTGTTCAATTACTTTTACCTTACATTGTAATCATAATAGAGACTGATTGTTAAGTCCAGGGCAGGTTAGTGTGAGTTGAAAATAACATAACATCACACCTTTTATTCCCGAAGGGGTAAATAGAGGTGCACATTATGGCTTACGGCACTTAATGCCATTGTACAATGTAACACCCACGTTTCACTATTTATGTTATGAGTCCCATGTAATAGGGGGTGAGCCTATTGCCTTATAACGGGCGCAATTCCAGACTCCTTGCTACTGCTGAGATTTAAAAAAAACCCAGTAGTACTTTGCCCGACCCGGGTTCGAACCCCAGATCCCTTACCCGACAGTCGCAGTTGCAACCCCTCGGCCAACGAGACAGTTCAAGTCCAGTGAGTTGAATTTAGTTATATTTTTCATTTAGGATGAACTGAACAACCTGCTAGGCAAGGTCAAGGAGGTGATCTCAGAGAACGAGCATCTACACGAGGCTCAGAAGAACAAGCTGATCTCTCGCATGTTTCATTCTTATAATGGATCCGAGAGTGACGACCTGGATGAGTTGGGGGACAGCACTGGACTGGACAGCGATAATAAGGTAAGACTTAATGAAGGTAAAGGAAACTTCAACAGAAGTCACTCTGAAGGATGACCTCACCTCAGTGATCCATTCTTATAATGGATCACAAGTACTTGGACAAGCTAAAGAATAACAATGCATTGCATATATATGATTATAAAAGACCGAAGACACTCCGCTGCTAGACTTTATATCTATTCTACGGTAATCGTGGAAACACCTTTCCTTGTTTTTTGAGGGGAGAATCATCCAATAACTTCTACCGCCTTGGGTTAGGCGAGAGGGAGTGTCAGACTCTTACTGAATAAAAACCACCCCGTTCCTACTCCTGCTCTTTGAGCCGGAGCCCCGGTAATCCGTTAGACCTTTCACGGATCCGTATCGGGCGTCAGCCCTGCTGGTCTATGGTGGTCCGATGACTCTTTGAGGCGCGCGCGGCACGCCATACGCAGGGGTCTGGTTCTGATCAGGCGGCAAGCTACCCTTGCTCGCCGTCTCTTAGAAATCGTATTTTCAAATGGTATATCAGAGAACGGTGCCCCGTCTATCTCAAACGTATAATGCTTTAGATGGTTTTACGACACTTGCAGAGAGTTTGGAGTGGTCACAAATTATTCAAAGATAAAAGTGTCGGTCTGTCGGTTGATTCCTCAGTGTAGCTATTTGCTTGTCTCAAAGTGCAGATTTCTGGTAAAGAACATCAGCAGAAAATGTTTAAAAAGCGTATAATTTTATTGTCCATAGACAACTCCGCTGAAAGCTCGGAAGTCTGCAAAGGCACGTTCCACCAGACTGGAAGGACCCAACATTGTGTTCGAGTCGCGCATCGCCGAGCTGGAAGCTCAACTTACACAATCTAAAATCGATCTAAAGAAGGTTCAGGTAAGGTGTTCCTTCAAGGCTCTCCTTGAATCTCCCTCTGGAGATAAATAAAAAAGAAAGGGAAAACGATGAAGGTCATTAACCGGGACTCTATTACTAAATTTAAAGATAATTTTCGGTTTAAAAGAACCAAAGCTTCAGGTATTTAACTTAATGGACTTCTGGAATTTGAACAGAGTAGTACATTAAAATTTGTCCTGTATTTATTTTGATAGGAAGAGAATAATGAGAACAAGCGCAAGTTGGCCTCTGGGCTGGTTGACTCAACCTGCCTCGACGGCTTCAAGCGCCAAATTGACAACCTGCAGAGGTAAGCGTCCTACTTATACTTAGGTATAAAGAGTCCTACTAATACTTAGGTATAGAAAGTCTACTGCTAGACTATAAGCCTCCTCTACAAGAGAGGGTTTTGCCCTTTTGATTGCAGCTCAAAAGATTCAGATTTAAAACAGAGCCAGATATCAATCAAAATTAAGGGACTACTTTTAGTCAGCTCTGACGATACCCATGGGAAGACAAGCAGAAAGGAGAGGATACAAGAGGAGATACGCTCCGCTCTCTTTGGAAATTAATTGAGCAGAGAGGAGAGAAGATGCCTCATTTTTCTATAGAATTTTGTGAGCCGACCGAGTAAGCAGTGCAGCAGAGCGGCGGAGATGTGTCTAGTTAAAGGCGGCGTACTCGCTCGCGCACATGGTCATCATTTATCAAAGCTCACATTTACTTTGATGAAAATAACCTGGCCGCTCCGCAGCACATCTCCTCTCCTCTCCTATCCTCTTGCTTCGTTGTAAACCGGACTTAAGGGTGACAAATGATTTTACTCTGCCGTCTCAACACGACCAACTACTATTTGTTTAAATTTCTTTTAAATTGATTTTTTACTCCTTAAACTAATTTGCGTTATAATTGAAAACACAAAATTTATAATTTATTGCTGACTAAAAATATCCAATAATTGCTTCTAATTTGAACAGGGACAAGTCTTCACTGGAGTCTCAGATATCGAAGCTAAAGTTAAGCTTGGAGCAACGAGACGATGATGGGCGGTACAAACGAGGGTCGGATGCAGTGGAACACCAGCTCAGGGAGGAACGGAACAACTTGGAGGCTGAGTTGAGGCGGCTTAAGGTGCGTATTTTTATATAGGGCATAGGTTCACTTACCATTTTATATGAATGAGAGACTTATGAAGGGAAGAATGATTGACTGATTGAATGGATGGATGAATGGATAAATGAGTGAATATTTGTACGAATGACTGACTTTATTAATACTTATTGAATTACATTTATTTTCTATTATTATTATTTTGGAGTATCCTAACACAGGCAAATATGCTTGTGGAGCCTCCTATCATTTATCATCTGTTCTCTTAGGATGACCTAGCTAAGGAGCGCAGTAAGGTCCGCGAGCTAGCCGGTGAGGGCGCGCGGCGAGCTATACAGGAGCGCAGCGCCGCCGAGCAGCGATACAACGCACACTTCGACGAGCTGCAACACGACCTCGCCGCGCAATATGACAATGTCGCCAAGTTACAGGTACAGAATAACTCTTACATTAACAGCCGATGCATCATTCATGTATTCATTCATTCATTCATACATTCACTCTACCATTCAATCATTCATTCTACCATTCAATCATTCATTCATTTGTAGGTAACTATACAAATTAACCAATTTATTTATTTTATCTATTTAATCTATTCCTTATTACTTCTAATACTGACTGTCTTTTCGCTATCTCTGTGCTGTGCTTATTTATGTGCTTGTGACTTTCCTACTGTGCCTTCTGTACTACACGTGTGTCGGATCCATCGAATAAACTTAGTGATACCGAAGTCGAACTTTATTTTATCCCACGAAATACCCGGCACCATCAGACTACTCATCTAACAACCAAACAATCACTCATTCGTCCTTTCATTCATTCATTTATTCATTTGTTTATTTATTCGTTCATTGAGTAAAAAACAATGAGATGTCTCCAGAGTTCTGTCCAACTTCAATGTTTTATACTGAAATACCAAGTAAGCAAATACATTTCACACTCCTTAAAACTGTTAAAATCACTAAATTAATGCTGCACATTCTAAACAGTTGGATTTGGAGCGCCAACGTCGTGAAGAGAACGAACTAAAACGAGAACTGTCAATGAAGAACGCTGCCATCGATGAACTTAAGATGGAGCTGAAGAACAAAATTTGTAAGTACTAGCTACTTCACTGGCCGCGTGGTCGCTAGTGCGACTAGGGCAAGGGGTCTTGGGTTCGATTCCCGGGCGGCAAAATATTACTGGGCTTTTTATAAATAAATCTCAGTAGTAGCACGGAGTCTGGAATTGTGCCCGGTATATGGCAATAGGCTCAACCTCACCTATTAGTGAAGTTGGGCGCTCGTTTCGAGTGGAGAAGTAAGCAACTCCAAAGTTACTCTTTTAAAAATTTTTTTTTTAGTCTCATGATACATTATCTAATCCTTTACCTAATGTATAGAGGTATGTTACGGCTAATACCCGAAGTGCGGCTACACCTAGTTTTAGTCGGTTAGAACTAGGTGTAGCCACTTACTCTTGGTTAAACCTAGTACGAACCGATTGTTTTCGAGTAAAACTAGGTCTAGCCTTCATCATGCCGGCTACAACAAGGTCCAGCCATTCCCTGTTGGATAAAACTAGGTCCATCCGATATCATTCCGGCTAGAACTCGGCTCCAGCCAGCCAATTAAGGCAAGCCGGAGAGTAAGGAACGGTAACTTCTCCCTTGAGCACTCGGGATGATGGTATAAGTGCCGGCACGAATCTTTAGCGCTGACCTTCACTTGCGCAGAAGTCAAATATCGGGCTTATTTAGTAGTATGAAGTGAGATGCGGAGGCAAGAAGCGTCAGTGATTGGTTCGCCGCGCTCGAAATCGTAGACGTAGCTCGTGATTCGTTTCCAGCGCTCGCTAAAACGATTGACGATTGGCTCGCTATTGTATGGAATGCGCAAAGCGATCCCCACTATGACTCCGAGCGCTAAAGATTCGTGCCGGCACTTGTAGCCCGCGGGATCGCTAATGCCCGTCACCTCGCCTCAAGGTGCCCTGCGGCTTTGAATTTGAAGTCTATCGAGCGTCCTCAAAAACCACCAAGCGTCCTCGAAAACCATCGAGCGTCCTCGAAATCTATCGAGCGTCTTCGAAAACAATCGAGCGTCCTTGAAATCTTTCGAGCGTCCTCGAAATCTATCGAGCGTCCTCGAAAACAATCGAGCGTCCTCGAAAACTATCGAGTATCTTCGAAAACAATCGAGCGTCCTCGAAAACAATCGAGCGTCCTCGAAAACTATCGAGCATCCTCGAAATCTATCGAGCGTCCTCGAAAACAATCGAGCGTCCTCGAAAACAATCGAGCGTCCTCGAAAACTATCGAGCATCCTCGAAAACAATCGAGCGTCCTCGAAAACAATCGAGCGTCCTCGAAAACAATCGAGCGTCCACGAAAACAATCGAGCGTCCTCGAAATTTATCGAGCGTCCTCGAAAACAATCGAGCGTCCTCGAAAACTATCGAGATTCCTCGAAAACTATCGAGCATCCTCGAAATCTATCGAGCGTCCTCGAAATCTATCGAGCATCCTCGAAATCTATCGAGCGTCCTCGAAAACAATCGAGCGTCCTCGAAATCTATCGAGCGTCCTCGAAAACAATCGAGTGTCCTCGAAAACTGTCGAGCCTCGATTACTTTCGAGAGTTACTCGAAAACTATCAAGCGTCCTCGATCAGCTTCGAGAGTTACTCGAAACCTATCTAGTATACTCTATCATTTTCGAGATATTGCGGGAGACGCTTTGGGAGTAAGTCCGGACAATCTCTGTTGAATAAAACTTAGATGCGAGACCCGCCAAGCCCCGTCACACTCATAACACAGCATCTGCAGCAGCGGCGCGGGGTGGGGGGCATAGCGAGACACGCGCCTCTGCAGGTGAGTGTCAGGTGCTGCTGATCTACTGCAGGTCTACTAGCGAGTGTGACTCACAGTGACAGCGTCTGCAGCAGCAGCGCGTGTCTTAGTTTTATCTAACGGGGATTGGCTGTACATAGTTGTAGCTGGCAGGCTATCGGCAGACCTTTTTTAGTTATTAAAAAACATCCAATAAAAAGAAACGTAGAGTGTTTTTTTATTATTCTAATAAATCACATTATAATAATTAATTATTAGAACATTGCCTGGTACGGCGATCTTTTAATTCAGTGATGGTAAGCTCTATTTTTCATTACCTGAATAAATCGTAAGCCTTCTGACCATTTTGGCAGTTCGCGTCGGTCATCCAAGTCATAAGCATTTTTTCGATGTCTTGATTGGAACGTTTAATTTACCTTGTGACTGGCTGTGTCGTGGTTTCCCATGCACAATCTTCAAACCTGGCCACATCTGCGTCAAACTTTCCACAACTCGATTCGTGAACTCTCTGCCATTGTCGAATTGAGTATTGAGGGTGATCCAAAGATACAAAATATATCAAGGAATTTCTTTGATACTTCTTCCGCAGTCTTACTTTGTAACGGATGAAGTTGTACGAATTTCGTGAGATGGTCCCGATAAACTAGTATAAACTTGTAGTCACCATCTGGGTTTGTCCGCATGTCTATCAAATCTACTTGGCAACGGCTGTTTAGCTCGCTGGATGAAATGGGCTTTACGACAAGGCCTTTTCTGGTAGATTTTTGTTGCATTTGACATGGCTTACATAAACGAAGATACAAAAGAATCGCCTCCTGAGTATACATGATAATATATTTCCATACTTCTTTTTAGCTTCTGCGACTGCAACTGCAACTGCTTCTAAATTCTGTTTCTTCCGCCGTGCCCAACACACAGATGTTTTTCACGAAGAACATTAAACAAGTCTTTTTAAATTATGTACTTTTTTTATATTTTCGGAACTTTCGGTGCTCGACACAGGAGAAATCAATATTTTGGCAGCTTTAACGTCTTCTATAAACTTGGAATACTGCACATCATTCATATAGCTTTGATTTTCACCATGTTTTGTGGCTAATAAACACTAAAACTGTTCTAAAAAACTTGACTTCATAGTCTGTCTGGTCTTCATTCATAGCCATTCTGAATTCAAACGTTTGAGTGCGCAAGAACAAGAAAGTACCGCTGTTTTATACAACGGTACAACGCGTAAAGCGCAAGGGCAAACGCGGGTGTACGGGAGGCGGAGCGGCAGTGGCGCGCGAGCGCGACGCGTCTCGCGTGAGCCAGGCGCCTGTTAATTGTTTTAAATATTTTGCTTCTACTTTTATCCAACAGAGAATGGCTGGACCTAGTTGTAGCCGGCATGATGAAGTCTAGACCTAGTTTTACCCGAAAACAATCGGCTCGTACTAGGTTTAACCAAGATTAAGTGGCTACACCTAGTTCTAACCGGCTAAAACTAGGTGAGGCCGGACTTCGGGTGTTAGCCGTAACATATATATATACACCGTGATGCGTGTATATGTAAGAACGATGTAACGACAATACAACGTCAAAATTTAATGGAACTCCGGAATAGGTTTTTGATGCGACATAATACCTTTCTTATTTGTTATTCCAGCATCTCTCCAAGCGGATCTGGCTCAGGCTCATGCAGAGAAGGCTTCTCTGGAAGAAGAGCTGGCTAGCGCTCGCTTGGCGATTGAAAGACAGCAACGTCAGGCTAAACATGAGACCAATCGTCTCAACTCTGAAGTAAGACATGTTTTTTTACATAGGGAGGTATTAAATAAGCCTAAGTCAAATCTTTCCAATAAAAAAAAGTAATTTAAAAAGGTTATAGTGAGTTCCATTTTACCAATCAGCCCCTTTCGTTTGATATTTATTTATAGTTCTCAAAGTCAAAGCATTATTTTAATAGAAATCGAACCCTAGACTATTCGATGAGGTAATCAATATTACGCTCTTATCAATAACAAATCCTATTATTTTTGTACTAGATCCAGTCTCTTCGTCAACGCCTGGACAGAGCTGATGCCGACTTGGTGCACTCACGTCGCGAGAACCTTCGTCTCTCTGAACAAATTTCTAACCTGGAAAAAGAGGTATTAAACACATTATGAAACACTGGATTCTACAATCATGACACACCTAATATTTCTTCGAAAATTAACAACGTTAAACAAAAGAAATTGACAGCTCTTGAAGAAGACTGGAATTTGAGAGTCTTGTCGCCACCGTGGTGCGTACGTGCGACAGGTCACGTAGTGTAGGCGACACACGATGACGTTGCTCACGTAACACTTGAAATGGACCCAACCGCAGCCAAGGACGCGTTCGTCGCCTCCTTACTTGAATTTCCCTTAAAAACTTTAATACAAAAATGTTACTCATTTGATTCATTATTTAATTCGCAGCAAACAATGAAGAACTTGACCCCGATATCGCCGGAGAAGAACAAGAAGGAGAAGGAACTGTCCACGATGCTGGAGTCGATGGAAAACAAACACGGTACGTCACACTACACACTTTGTAGTTCCTCTCAATGTTGGGTCCACTACTCTCAGTCTTTGGGAAATAGCCTCATCCAATGGGTAAACTATTGATGTTTTGAAAGATTCTTCACACTAAAATAATCTGGAACAATACCTTCAAAACATTCATACTTTACCCTTTCATCGTCTGCGCTTGCATGTACATCTATAGTGCTATGAAAGGGCTTGTATTCTTTCTTAACGTTCAATAGTTTATTCATCAGATTGTTTACAAAAACCTCCCCATAGTAGTGTCTACAACTTAGAGTTAAAGCTAGAACATTTGGTTCCGCAGCTAAAACGGTGGCTGGGTTGGAGTCCATGATACAATCACAAAACAGTCTGATGGAGAAACTCACCGGCGAATGTCGTTTGCTCACAGACAAGCTCGACGACGCAAATCGTAGGCACAAGTACGAACTATTTACAATCTAATAGCATGAATATTATTGTCACTCTCCTTTGTAATCTCACTTGACATTGCTCGCTAAATTATCGTTGCCCATTTAAAACTATTGTCTTAACGTCGTGCTGTGTTTTTATTGGTGGCAGGCAGTGCGCAGTGTCGCGGCCGTTCAGACGAACCAATCAGAACACAGCGCGACCGTTCGAGCTCGCGAGACCGAGAGACTCGCCGTTCCAAGCGCCGCTCCGCAAAAGAGTCCGTTTCGTCGAATAACTACGCGCCAATAGTCGTTGGCCCGTTAACGACCAATCAGGATCTCACAAACATCAAAGGAGAGAAGATATACAACTTGCCGCTTATGATACAACAGCCCTTTTTACGGGAGAAAAAGGAGCCGATTAAAGTTGACATAAGTGTAAAGTTGGTACCAAAGCCTAGAAAGAAAGAGAAGAAAAGGAGAGGAGCACACGTTGAAGAAATAATAGTGCAGCAAGCTGACGATAATAGAGGCATAAAGAATAGCTTTAGCATGGAAGTCTCTGAAGGCGATATACAAGTACTGAATGAGACTGTAGAGATTATTGAAGATAACGCTAAAGCTTCCGAGGAAGTAGATAACAAAGACAGTCATAGTGTAGAAGAAAATGCCCAAGTACAAGAACAGAATGACATAAATATAGAGCAAATATTACCGACTGAAACGACAGATGATAATAATGTTGAAATGGCAGAAGTTGCACAAGATACAGCTAATATACCACAAGAAAGTACGGTAAACCAAGATGAGATAACAGAGAATGTAAACATAGAAAGTGAAATAGAGAAAGAGACAGATGCTGTACAAGAAAAGGATGAACAAAAAGACGAGGAAGCTGCCTAAAATGTTGTTGACGGGCATTTTCTGAACGACTGAGCAATGGAATTGATAGAGCAAGCAATGCGAATGATGTATATCGAGTAGTTTGAGCAGAACTTAGATTAAGATACCTCTAGAATATAAACAACACTGGTAGCTTAGTAATTGTATGTACTAGTAGTTACCAAGTTTAAAACTTATTTAAAACTTACAAAAGTAATGTGGATGAATTTCTGATCAGTGAAAAATGTGAGAAAAGGTTTTGTTTTATTGAATTTTAAGTATTATACCATAATTATCATATTATGTAAAATTAAGTCCTGCCTAGTTGGCAATCCTTGTTGGAGAGTATTCGATTGAATCGATCAAGAGAACATTCTTAAAATAATTATTGTTGAATTTTAATTTGTTGTTATATTTTATAAATTCTTCATTTCTGTGATCAACTACCAGTGTTTAAATAATTATAATATTGACTTCATGTTGTAAACGTTAGTGCAATGTAGTGTGATATTTGTTAGCTTGTTGTAATATTGTTTTAATAGCTTTCTATTCATATATATCAATGTTTAACTCTCGGTGTTGTGAGACAGTACAAAAATCAATTAATTTTCAATGGGTAACGATAGTTTAAGTGTGTGCAATAAATAGTTGTTTAAAATCATCCTTATGATCATTTATTTAGATAGTTATATTTCCTGTAGATTTGAAATCACTGTCATCGTTAGAAACTATTTTGAGGATCATTATTTAGTGTATAACTTTAAAATTTAGCATAGATTATCTCTTTATTAATTTTAATTATTTGCTCGTCATATTCACACACATATTTCCATTTCAGAGCAGAGAGAACACAATTGCTTTGCAGGAACGTTGAATTAATGAGAAAGCTTAGAAATTTATGGACTTCTCATAAAAAATATTGCACCACCATTACACCTCTGAGAAATTACACCCCACTCAGTGGATATCCACACAGTCGATCATCTTATGACTTAGACCGCACGTATTACACATCGACGCCTAACTATAGATCTAGATTTAGGAGGGCTGATAGTCTAAGTGAGTCCTCAAGGGATGACATAGGTGGTCTAACAAGAAACCTAAGTGATCTATCAATTGATAAGATTGATGATTCTGATGATGACCCTGTGAAGGCAAGTGATGATGATGGTAACATATTTGGGAGCAAAGATACGGAGGCATAACAGTTTTTTTCATTTTATCGAAAACAGTATAAATGAAAAAAATATTCCTTTTACAAAAATTGCTCTTATTATAAAGGTAACTAAATTCCCTTGTATACGTCATACGTTACTTATTGATGAAACACTTGTATCGGAAAATATTGATCAAGAAATGTAAAAGAAAAAACGCTAGTGGCTTCGTTTCTTTGGTCCCAAGTTGTGTGACTGATGTTGTCGTAGATAGAAGCAAGCATGTGCATGATGACGTTGTAGTTTTAGTTTTGGAGCTTAGTGCAACGGTAGAAAATTAGTTAAATGATATTTTCCCAAAATAAATCACATCTTTTTAAAGTATTATAACCTATTAGAGTATCTCTTATGTATTGTGTCAACTACTAAATTGGTTATTTAGCTAAATAATTGATTTTTTTGATATCGGGTTCGATTCCTGAATAATTACCACTAAACTAATATTTGAAACTTCGGCAATATAACATCATTTTTAATTGTCAATCTTCAGTTTTACCATCAGTAACAAGAGAATTTCTTTTAGTAATAATATAAAGTTTAAAATCCCTTGGTGAAGTATTATTATAGTCTTTCTGATATTCGTGTTTACCTCGCATGGTGTTTGCTACGTGGCTCACTTTGTTTGTTTGTGTGTGTTCACGTGTGGCGTGCAGGCAAGAACTGGCCACTCTGCAGCGTCAAGTAAACGGCCTCTCACGTTCGATGCAGTCCCCACACAACACGCCTAGCAATTTTCAAGGTATGTATGCAATTAACGAAACAAACAAGTGGTAACAAGACCTTTGCTGTGTTTATTATAAGGCCTTAAACTGCATATTCAGTAGAGTATGCTAAATGCTAAATGTGGCGAGTTGTGGTCAATTCAGTTATGTTCCAAAAATTTATCAAAAGAAGTGAATCGTTAATAAATCTTTCATATCAAATCTCATAGAGATGATAAACGTGTCAACATGAAACAAATCTTTATGAAATATTAACGATATATGACTTGACTTTCCTTACAGCACATCCCCCGCACCAGACCACAACCGACAGAAATGTACCACATCCCCCGTCCGACAGCGGACGAGACTATTCCGGAACTGAGTCCCCCGGACACACCACACACGGACCGGACGAACGAATCACAACAGTCGACCGAGACGATCCCTACGAAACTACAGGAATAGATAAAACTGCCTATCAACAAGAAGAACACCACGACCAACAAATAGAAGAAAATGTAGTAGACATTAAACCAAAAGAAACAGAATATCAAGAAGCTGAACATTTTGAAGAGGAAGAAATGCCTAAAGTACAGACAGAAACGAAAGAAGAAATAAAAGAAGAACCAGAGAAACCGATGGAAGTAGAACACACAGAAGCATATGAAACACAACAGTATGAGTATGATCAGAATTACGAACAAACACCGGCTACGGGCGATGCTCAATACGAGAATCAGTTTGAGAATTACGAACAACAACCATACGCTGACCAGCAATATGAAAACTATGAACAATATCCTCAAGAAGCAGTTGATCCTAATGCGCAGTATCATCAGGAATATGAAAATTACCCAACAGATGGGAACTATACAGATCAAAATTATGACACAACTCAGTATGCTGAGGGATTGACAGAAGCTGCACACGATGGAAGCAAAATAGTACAGGACCAAAGTTACGATGCTCAGTACGCCCAGGAATATCAAGCTGATCAGAATGCAAAGATACAAAATGAAAAAGTGCCTGAAAGTATAAAGTCACAAGAGAAACCATCTAGTCAAAGTTAGCAATTTTATTAGATTTAAGTTAGTATTCGTTCGTGCAATATTATGTTATTGGAAGGCTTGTTTTACGTTATGTATTCGTGCTAATTTAATTATTGTAGATAAAGCTTTCGATGTTAGTCATGTTATAGTTGATTAGAAAATATTAAAAAACATGGAAAAAAACTACAATTGAAATTATAGAACACCTGCAGATGTATGAAGGAAATTTTAAGGTGACTAGCAAGCTTGTGGGTATATTTGTAGAGAATTCAATTAATGTTGTCTTATACAGTTGCCCAGTTATAAGTAAATATATTCTGGGCAACGATATGGATTATATTTTACATGATAAAACTTTACTTAAGTCCGGATTCTCATTAATTTATGTTCAAAATTATCTCCAAGTGACGTTCGTTGCTAAAAAATGTCCAAACAGTTACCAATCTAATAGAGAAGAAGCAATTTTAACAAAATAATTAAATTATTTTTGCTCAATATAATTTTTATAGACCGAACGGTGTTTTATTCAAATAGTCTATCCTATTCTTAGATTTACTGTCAACCTTACCCGGCACCCCACTATCGTTTTATTATTTATTTCTCCTACCTCTATATTAATATGTATATTGTATCAATTTCATGGTACTTTGAGCATGTCTGAATTGAATGTTATTACCTATCAGAATTAGGTAGCAAGGCAGGTCGGTCGTAGTCTATATCGAATTTTATAATGGTCCATTATGTAGAAATGAAATCAGGCATCAATAAACAAAATATTACACATGAGTATATTAGATTGAAATATTTGTATGTGTTGTGGTGTAAAATGTTGTCAAATTAAATCTCGGCGAACTACGTGGTCGAGTTGATATCTACTTGATTTTCTACATAATCCTTACTACAATCCAAATAACAAACAGAATCATTTCTACTTTAAAATTCATATAAATATCTAGCATAGAAAACAATTTATTATCAACACCTTTGTGCAAATATCAATTTTGAATTTTATCACAAAACATTAATTAATGTTTTGTTCGAAATTTCTTACGGTGGCAACGTCGCGCTCAATCGGCTGCGTGCGAGCACGATGAAAAATATCAACACATGTATTTTATTTATAATAATTGGTAGTTTCAATCACATAATAGGGGTAAGTGAATATATTTTGATATAGTGAATATATGTTATAGTGGTGACGAGACACCATTAATTTATAAGCACATTACTTTACCCCTAGCACCGTATTGAAATTTGAAAGACACAGTGCCTTTCTGTTACTGGTTCGTCTTAAAGTGCGAATGTAATATTATATAACCATATTGTTACATTGATTCACGTAACCAACTTTTCATGCTAAACATAGTTACAATTTACAAAACCACCGATAAAGGACCAAAAACAAATAGAATTTATGTATGAACGGCAACGCTGTGAATTAATAATATTGCTAAATGCTTCACAGACTCATGCGAAAAACGAAACGGACCTTACAGAAGAATATTTAGAACAAGAAGCTCAAAGAGATCTAGAGCAATTGTTAGCTAAAATAAATTCTCGTCGAAATAACTCAGATGTTAATGATGATCATGACGATGATAATAAAACTACACAAAGAGAAATTGACAAAGAAATTGATGAAAAAGTGCAACTTATGAAAACCCGCAGGATTCTTCCTGGTCACTCTGCAGCTAATACTGAGGACCAGGATCGCTTTTACAAAATAATGCATACATTAGCTTCATCTCGAGGTAATACGAAATTAAATTTAAAATATGATGATAAATCTCTTGGCGATTCATTTCGTAAAAGTTTTATGAATATAAAACCTGAGATATCTCCTGCACAAAGTTTATCTGATGGAAGAGATGATCAAGAGGAAACTTTTTTAGAAGTTGATAACGTTGGAAATACATTCCAAAATCATGATCCTTTAAGAACTAGATCCTACCTACCTTTATCAGCAAATTTGGAAAAATTTAGTGAATTGTTGCACCGATTCAACAAAAATGGTCAGAAACATGTGAGAACTAAACCAGGAAAACAAGAATCCGGTACTGATGATATTCACATACCCTATTTACGTAGCAATCCTCTAATGAACAAGATAGAAAAACAAGTTTTGGATGCAATAAATAATGATTTTAATGAAAAAAAACGCAAAAGAACTAAGGTTACAGTTCTGCGAACGGATGTAAGTGATGAAACTATGTATGCAGACATTAACGACGAAATTGATGAATTCGTAAATCATTTTAATGATGATAAAAATGACAGGAATAACCAGCGAACTGCCACTTATAGAGATTATCAAGTAAGTAGAAATTTCATTTATAACATGTTGATAATGAAAGGTTTTAGATCTGATCCTCGGGGACGTCAAATGATTGAGTTGTGTCCTGTCCTGTGTAAACTTCTTACTGGTTTTTTTTTTATCTAATTTTACTTTTATAGACTTTTGGTTGTACGGATTTCCAGTTCATTCGATCACAGGTGAGGGTCATGTGGGAGAATGAAAAATATAAAAGAATCAATATTTTTACCCGAGTACGGCGACGCCAAACGGAGGATTATGATTTTTGGTTATAACATCGGCACAGTTGTTTTGTCACATTAAATCGCTTTTGATGTCTTGCTAAAACGAAGTGGGTGCCATGTTTATTGAAAACAATCTGAAAGAGGTCAAGATATTGGACCCAGCATACTTGTTATATTTCTGTCAGTATTATATATGAAAGTAAATTATAATAAGAACATAATATATTATTAACAATTGGCATACCTACAAACTGTTAAAGTAGTTAGTACAAGGTCAAAATCAAGTCAACCCTACACCAATATGTTTTAAAACAAAGAAACAGTATTAATCATGTAGATATTATGTAATTCAACAAATCAATTAATATTTTCTCAGGATGTACAGCTTGACGATGGAAAGCGAACGAGAAGAGCCGCACGAACACAAGCAGGGTACACTCAAGACCCTGACACTTGCAAAACTTACAATGAAAACCTCGTAAAACTCTGGTCAAATCTGTCAAAATACCTTAATGTCACTGAACAACCCGACGAACTTGCCCTGCATAACATAGCAATGATGGTACAAGCATACCTAGAACATCACACACAACAATCACCAGAAACACCTAAATCAAAATACGAAGGACCTAGAGACAAAGTAACCGAAATTATACTTAGAATTAGGAAAACGCTCGAAGACTCTCAAGCCAGTGAGGCTAAAATAGTCAAAATAATAAAAAAATACGCAAAACCATTTTACGGAGACATTGAAAATGAAGATTGTCAACTGGTCAATGAAGAATATTTGCAAATTTCAGTTGGTTTGTTATTTAAAAATTATCAGAACAATCTCGAATGTTCCGGCGATGACAACGAGAGTATAGCAATAAATAAAAGATTGATTTTACGAAACACAAAAAATAAATCCCTGAAACGATCCAAAAGTGGGCTCGTACTAATATCTGACGATGACTATTTTAATCCAGACAAAGATATATATCTTGATAGTGAGGTCTTTAAAGATTTTCAAAAGGAAAAAACACCAAGAAAGAGATCTAGTCAAAACAGACGAGTGTCCCGACGAAACAGAAACCCAAAGCGTCAAGCCCCAGCACGGAGAAGTGGAATTGAAAACGAAAAGTTTAAAACTCTAAAATCATTTAAAGGTAAATCATCTAGATCAAGATCTAGAAATAACAATCTCAGATCTGATGGAACGAAAAGTAGATGTGAAAAAATTGCGATTCGCAAACTGACAAGCTTATTGCGACCTGTGATAGAAAGATTTACGTCGCTACAAGAATGTCAAATTGACAACACGTTGAGATCTGATTATCAACATCCGAATTCGCGTTCCCCGCTCTACTTGTACGCTTCCAAATATTTATCGGATGACAATGGCAATGAAGAAAATTACTTCCTTAAGAAACCTTTACCCATAGATAAATTGACTAGAAAAAATACAGAACGTAGTAGAGCAATCGAGTCATCTAAAACAGAAGAAAGACAGAAATCTACACAAGAACTTGTAAAAGAGGATTTTGTACGTGATGATGGCGACACTTGGATTAGGAAACAATCCAACTCAAACCTAAAGCTCAGTAACACAGATCGAACATCGGAGACTACTTCTGGTAATCTTGATACAAACAATGATCTCCAGTCGGTAACCTTTTACGATGATTACGACGCTTTATTGAAACCACCACCATTACATGCCAACAGTCCACTCAGTTCTATAATCGACATAAAGAAAATTATCGATAGGGTAAACAATAAAACTTCACACACAAAAGACAAAGAAAAGAAAGATGTTTACGTTAGACAAAGAAAACTTGTAACTTCTACTTTCAAACCTTTGCGAAATAACGAAGGTTATGATGGAATTGATTATGACTATTATAATGACAGCGTAACTCATAGTACTGAAAGTGCTGATGAACCGTTTCAAGATCATACCAGACTCAGAACTTCTGATAAAGTGGTCCAAGAAAAAAAGAATACACATACATATGAAAGTCTTTCAGAGTTCATTAAAAAGGCTCGCGACATTTCATTGCAAACACCAGAAGTTACCATGCCTTTTGCATTAGATAATAATAAAGGGTATGTAGAACTCACTTATCTAGTAAAATATCCAAGAATGCTTATTTACCGTCCACAGTTTCTATTGAAAAACGTAATACCATATGACGCCTATGTTAAAACAGCTAATAGTATCAATATGAGTAATAACGACGTACGCTTGATGAAAATTGTTAGACATTTGCCGGACAAATCTGCTAAAGTACTATTCGAAACTGAAGATTATGAGGAGCCATTAGAGATTCGTAACGTTAATGAAAATTTGAATAACAGGAGGACTGTTTGGACTAGAAATGATATACTTGAGAACAACAAACGTCCACCTCCTTCTATTTTAAGTGATATAGGTTCAATTATTGACAAACTTCGTAATCGTACTATACAAAATGAGTTAATTAAGAATAATGAAAATGATGAATTATTCTCATCTGACACTCAGACAGGGACTATATTTACGACTCCTAAACCAAATGTACAACAGGACACATCACCTTCAGGTTGCAAATTAATAACAACTAAAACTGACTTAAACGACACTGATATTCTATCGGTAGAGTCTATAAACACCAGGTTTTCGGAGACAGATTCAGAATCATCACAAGAATTTTCTGATGATCCATTCTATCTTCCAACACTAGCAAACTTTTATAGAGCACACACATCTACTACTAAACCTAAACATGATTCAGCTTCATTCATTGCCAAGAATGTTTGGAATAATTTGAGGAAAATAATACAAAGTGAAGTGCAGGTAAAGTTATTTTCTAACAAGTAAATGGTAATGGCAATTGAAATCTACATGTTAACAGGTTCATCACCATCAACAGGCAATGACAGTCTAGTGCTGAACTATGGACCTCCTCCATGAGAGTGTGCAATAATATCCTCGCTCACTTGGGTTCGAGATTGCCGTATCACAGGTTCAGGTTTAACAAAGAGCGTTGCTGCCTGGTCTCTGTCCAATGTGCTATAACTGTAGTCTTCCAAGCCGCCATTATGATTTACAGTTAGGTCACTCTAATTAAAAGGATTTAGGTGTCCATTCGTCCGTGGCTGAATAAGATTGGTATTCAAAGTATAAGTAAAACGGGTATCATATTAATTTCTAATATTTATAAGTGGAGACTATGTACGTACTAGCAAGCGCAGTAAAGGACGCCCACAACGATAAATGGTTAGGTAAGGCCGCTTGTTGCAGGTTGCGTCCAGCCAGCCGACCTGGAAATCACTGGTGAGGCCTACATTTAGAGGCTGTCTTCTGCCCAATGATAATTATTCCCTGATTACTCTTATTGTTTTCTTTTCTAGAAAATTGTGGGAAATACATCGACTGTTAGTAGCAACATTGACGAATTGATGGATTGATGTTCGAGTGGTACCTAGCCTCTCCACAACGCACTCATTACTCCAACAAAACATCGAAACTGGTACAGAGGTAATAGTAAAATGTATTAGGAACGTGAAGATGTATGGATGGTTAAAAAGATCAAATAAATAAACTGCGTGTTGTCATTAAGTCATTATATCCTTTACCTATTCCTAAACCTAAAAGAGAGTAAGTACCAATCTATAATCGCTTTATTTTACCCATAATTAAGAATCGAATTACCAAAGATTTGGTTGGGCCGTACCTAAGGTAATTATATATTATTGTTATAGCTTATTGTTTCTACTGAGAGCCAAGCTTCGGTAGTTGGTACGAATGGGCAGACTCGACCGAAGTGATATTATGGCCTTACAGAAAAACGACGTGAAACAACGCTTGCGTTGTTTACATGCGTGAAGAAAGTAAAGTTAAGTCCAATGCCTAAGACACTCGTAACACACTCGTAAATTTGTTATCCTTTGGTATACATAACAGGCGTCCATAAGTAGCGCCGATTGCTTACCATCAGACAATAGTAGCAAAATTGTATAACACTGATCGTATGATTGCTGATTTTAACAAGTTTGGTAATCTATCTTTCACGGGAACCAAGACAGTTGTTATTCGTGTCCCTGGGACGCGCCGGACTTCAGTGTTCCGGCGTTTTCATGGTTGTACTAGCTACTTTCGGCCGGTTTCACAGACTCTGCTCAGTTCCTATTGGTCGTAGCGTAATGTTTTATAGCCTATAGCCATCCTCGATAAATGCGCTATCCGACACAAAAAGAATTATTGAAATCAGACTTGTAGTAACGGAGATTAGCGCGTTCAAACAAACAAACAAAAAACTAACTCTTCCGCTTTATATACCTAACTAATAGTATAAGAGTATAAGATTTACTGTAGATCCTGGCTTACAGGAGTTGCAACGGTGTTGGGACTGGGAGAATGTGGCGGGCTTGTCCCTTAAAAAAAAGGTTTAGTAATCTTATACATTTTTGAAGGGTCGACAAGGCGTATGCAATGCCCCAAGTGTTACAAGCGTACATAGGCCACGGAAACCGCTTACCATCAGGTGGGCCGTGTGCTTTTTTCCACCGTCGTCGTGTTATTAAAAAAATCTCCTAATAAACGGCAAATAGACGGTTATGGCGTCACTATGACACTTCATTGAAAGCAGCACTTTATTGGCATAAGTATAATAGTAATCTCGTACTTACCCTAAACTCTAAATCTAAGTAATTAAAAAAATTACTATAAAATAAAAAAAAATAATTAATTTAACTTATTAATATTGACTTATGTAAACTCTTTACCCATGATCCCCGTAAAGTCGGCCAATTTTCGACTATTTCCTATTTATAAATGTAGCACTTTATGATCTTTTAATAAAATACCATAGTGGTCCTGGTGCGTACGTGACATTTTTAGCAAAAATTAACATTCAACAAACATTCCAGGAATATCCACGTAAGGCTTTTACCGATTGAATGCACGGATTAAGGAGACAAAATGGAACATACATTGTCTCTCGCTTGGCTCCGTGTTTAGCCACACAAAAGGCTAAAAGACTTAGTTATAACAATGTCACTTGGGTTCTATGAAAAGGTATAATTTAAAGAGTTTATAAGAACAGTAATTGCTCATGTTTAACAATAGATAAAGAAAACTGTACAAATGGACTTATTGGGCCATCTTCACCCATGTCCTGTCTACTGACCACCAGTAATAGTTGCTTATTCACTCATCTTTGTTTTTTATTAAAATCTTTGCCCCACAGTATAGGATTAGGATCAGATTAGGATTTTCTCCTGTGTCGTGGTTGCGTTTACAAACATACAAACATATCACATACACAATGTAATGAATGGTTTCAAAGAATTACCATTTTTAAAGGGGGAAAATCATCGAATAACTGCTCCCGCTTGGGTGAGGCGGGAGGGAGTGTCAGACTCTTACTGACTAAAAACCACCCCGTTCCTTCTCCTGCACGTCGAGCCGGAGCCCCGGTAACCCGTTAGGTTCTCCGCGACAAAGAATTACCATTAAAATATTATTTTGTTAGATATGTATTTGCGCGGTGCCTACTTATAGATTCTATAGTTCCAAGAATATTTTGAAAAGCATTTAAGCATTCGTTAATTGACAGTGTAACTAGTAGTATTGTGTAGTTTTATGTCTGACCCGTTCCCACGCTAATTAAACTGTCAAACACCAAGCGGTTACCGGTGACCGCAACCTATTGTTCTATAATTGTGTCTATAATGACGGTACTCGACGAGTTAATTACTATTAAATTAGGATTATGAAACAAGTTTCGTATTTTACCTAAATAATAGTTTTCGATAAACTACATCTAACTTCTGTATTAAATTCACCGATCGTTTTTTCTTCTTCTCTAATACTATCCTCTAATTTATTTCATTGCGGGATCCAAGACAGTTATTCAAATACCTGTGACGCGCTGGACTTCAGTGTTTTCATGGTAGTATCTTACGCCTGCCATTTCGGGTTACCTTATCTTTGCTTGAAGTAAACCTATGACCAAATCGTTAATAACTCAATTTTTGCAACGTTGACCAACCCATGTAGCCAGCCATGCAGCCCCACCAAGACTATTCATGTCACTAAGACGCGCCGTACTTCAGTGTTCTGGTGTTTTTATGGTTGTATCTACTGTAGATCCTGGCTTACAGGAGTTGCAGCGATTTTGGGAGGTTGCGGCAGGCTTGTCCCATTAAAAAAAGACCATGTTGATAAATCTTACGATTCTTATTACGGTAATCTTTTAAAAGGTTTTTAACCCAATTTAAAAAATTTAGTTCGGGGTATTACAACAATAAATATACGAAAATTTGGTCCTAAATGTAACATACACTTTTTTGAAAACCACATCAAAATCAGTTCCGCCCATCGTGAGATAATAACAAATAAACATACAAACATAAATACAGATCAAACTTAGAACCTTCTATTTTGAAGTCAGTAAAATTATACTAAAAACTTCAATACGATCCTTTGACATCCAAATATATAAGAAAATTAATCATTAGGTCTCTAATTAATAGCTAAAAATTAATATACTTTTAAAATGAAACGTTTAACTTAATTTTAAAATGTGCATAATAATTTTTGCGATAACGGTTCGCTTTGGCTAGTGTGTACGTGCAAGTTTGCATGACGTTGTTGTTGTTGTCTCTTTCTATCGCACTCACTAGTAAAGCGCTCGAGTCGAGTTGGGTTAGTTGAGTAGTCGAGTTATTCGGTCAATGTGCCCGAAGTCGTCAACGGTGACGGTGCTTGACGTGTCTCTCGTTCGTCTTCGTTGTACATGTACAATTTATAATCTGTGGCGTGTTTTGTTTGTTATCAAACATTTTGCTCCGAAAAGTGGATAAAATAAAAAGTCCAATAAAGTTGAACTGTGCAAGTAAAAATATTACACAGTTAAACGAATCATTCAAATTATTGAAGTTTACACTGGCTATAAGTGTTTACCATTTTGAGGTTATAATCTTAGTCTTGTGAATCAAGCTAAAAGTATTATACAAAAATGGTTTGTGAGAAATGTGAGAAGAAATTGGGCCGTGTGATCACACCGGACCCTTGGAAGTCTGGAGCCAGGAACACCGTGGAATCCGGAGGAAGAAAAGTCGGTGAAAACAAAGCCCTAACTGCAAAGAAAGGGCGATTCAATCCTTATACGAGCAAATTTCAAGAATGCAGGCAAGTTTTTATCCTATTATTTTTATTATAATCCCCTTTTTCTTTCTTCTATGAAATTATACCGAAAAATCTCCGCTAAATATATAAAATTCTCAATTTATAGGGACAGATCAATATGGTATTTATTGTTATTTTTAACAATAAATAAGGCTTCTTTGCGTATGTTATCAAATGTTTTTAGTGTAATGCATTAAATATTTGCTAGTCATAGTATTTTATGTATTTCACACTTCTAAACTGTTAAATTTTAGATAGTTAAATATGAAATTCTCAGCCAAGTCTTGTCAGACCCTAAACTTTTAGTACCTTGTTCAACATTCTTATAGCATTGCTTGAGAGCAGGGAAAAACATTATTTAGATACTTATCTATGTTCAAATTTTTTTTTGATTGATGATAGTGACAACCGTTACTTATAGGCCAAGATCAATGTGAATCATTTGTTAACTAGAAACATACCAATAATATTTAACCAGTCATTTTAACCCAATTTCATCTGCTTTCAGTTGTTCTTTCAACCGCTTAATGTAACCAAAATTCTCACCAAATGAGTTAACAGACCCAATTTTATAACTGCTAGAAACAACTTGTCATACTAACAGATAATGTTTCTTTTTACAGGATCTGCAGAACAAAAGTACACCAAGTTGGCTCACATTACTGCCAAGCCTGCGCCTACAAGAAAGGAATATGTGCTATGTGCGGCAAAAAAATATTAGACACCAAAAACTATAGACAAAGTTCTACGTAGAATCTTTTTTTAGTTAAAATATTTTTTTAATGAAGATAGAATGTGAAGATTTCAAATATTTTTTTTTAATTTGCTAATCTATGTACAATGCCAGTGGGTCAACCTGATGCTACTTTTTTATTGTAGTTTTGACTGTACTTCAAAAGTATAAAGTTGAAAATTGAACAAAAATGTTTGTAGCACTACTTGTAAATTCATATTACTCATTGAATTTTGATGTACCAATCAAACAGTGAACTGTAAGTTAAAAGGTTTGTCCTTCACACTTGGGAATTTATAATTTAATGTATGAGCAAATGTCTTTTAGGGACTTATAGCTATGTATTAAATGATAAAGTTTATTGTATCATGATTGATATTAACTGTCTGTAAATTAACTATGTATTTGCAAAAAACAATGTTTACAGTTTAGTTGAAAATAAATTATTGTTGATATCAAAATCCAATGTAGTTTCTTAATTTGTTAATTTCATAATTGATAAGATTTTGTAAAATATTGAAAATATCTAAACCTTAAAGATTTAACCAGATTATTAAACATTGAATACAATGTTTCTGTAATTGTTATATTTCTTGTACATAATAATCTATGTATGTTATTTGTAAGGCCTTAGTTTTAATAAACTTGAACAAATTAAATCTTTGTATTTCATTTTTATTATCTAGTTAAGCTTCGTTACAATTTTTACTTTAATCTCTTATCCTCTTATATGAGACACAATAGCAAACACATTGTGTCTCGCGTATACCTACGTCCGCTCGTATACCAGGAGTTAAGTCTTCATATATATCTTACTTTTCATTGCTCGAAAGGAATCTCTTTTTTGGAATCAGGGGCACATAGGCATCTAGTAAAAGTAAATTTTTAATTAAAAGTGACCTCATCAATTTCGCCAATTATATGTATCTTGGAAGTCAATGCAGCATTTTTATAAAAAAAAAAGGTGAAAGGGTAGTAAACGAGCAAATATCACCTGATGGTATGTAATCGACGCCGCCCATGGACGCAAGAGGAGTTGAGAGGACAAGTGCATTGCCAGTCTTTAGGGATAGGAGAGGACAAGTGCGTTGCCAGCTTTTTTTAATCCATATATGTACCCTACGGATTTTTTGCTGAGTACTCTGGGATACAACTCTCTGGCTGTACGGCGCTCTCGGATACAGATCATAACTGCACTGAAGATTTTGCGGAGTGTTATCGATTCACCAGAATTACATAATCTATTATGCACCATCTACGTCCCAGACAACTACCTGCGCCACCGCCACGGCCGCCGGCACAGACTACTCGTGAACCCGCGGTGCCGCACTGTATCACGCGCGCACTCCCCGCTTTGTAGCATGCGCAGCGCAATCAATGCCCTCACTCTGGAGCTACCCGATTGTGACGTATTAGCCGACAGGTTTAACCAAATTGTACTGTTGACCATACAATTTTGTGAAAATGTTGTACTAAATTGTAAATAACATGTAGGTTTATTGTGACTTAATTCTTACGAACAGTTTACCTACTATAATATAATATTTATTAGTTTTTTTTTTCAAATGTTTTGTGGGTACTTTGAGTCTGACAAGTTTGACATAATGATATTTTCTGATTAATCTTGACATTTCATATGGTTTAGGTTCTGACATGAAGTTGAATTTTATTTTATTTTATTATATTTCTTTTAATGTTGACATGGATTTGAATGTGTATTTGTAATATTGATATAATGGTCTTATAACAAATTAATTAATTGCTGTCATTGGTGTAACCGTTGTAATTAATATAAATAAATAAATAAATAAATAAAAATAAATTAAGGGGGGATAAGAATCCAATGACTCCTCCCGCCTTGGGAGAGGCAAGAGTGAGTGTCACATTCTCACAGACCAAAAACCACCCCGTTTCTACTCCTGCTTCAAGCCGGAGCATCGGTAACCAGTTGAGTTGTCCGCAGCTCCGGGGAGGACTGGTGATTTTGGCTAGTCCCTCGTATGAAGAGAAGCCTCCATAGTCCAGCTGTACAGTCCTGGGCTGTTGTTATTGTAGCTTGTTGTGTACGTGACGTTTTCGCAAAAAATCTTCCCACGCACGATAGTTCAAATCAAAAGATTTATATTTAGGTATAAGTAGATAACAGTGTCATAGGAGCCAGTAGGTGGGTACCTACCTACTAGGTACTTAAACGATAAGGTGCTCAGTACAATTTTAATAATAGTTTAGACGACAAATTTTTATTTTAAATGTCCGACTGATAGATTATTTAAAAACATTAGACACGTATATTTTATTTTCTTATGGAAACGAATAGTTTCAAAGATATATTTATTTGAAATATGGCATGACGTCACTTTTGAGTACCTACGATTTATACTCTACTAGCGACCCGCCCCGGCTTCGCACGGGTGCAATATGCATGTATTATACATACAAACCTTCCTTAAGAATCACTCTATCTATTAAAAAAAAACCGCATCAAAATCCGTTGCGTAGTTTTAAAGATCTAAGCATACATACGGACATACAGCGAAAGCGACTTTGTTTTATACTATGTATTGATTGATAATGACGTAGCTACCTCCCGCTCCTAAACTTTGATTCGTTGTATCTAAGTATTGTTTTCTTATACGACAAAATAAAAAATACCTACGTGTCTAATACTATTTTTCCATTACCTAACTGACGGACTAATTACATTTTTTATTTTCATAGCCTGTCATCATCCCTATTGATAACTGCAATTTCTTACGTTTAACAATAGGGAAAAGAAACAAAAGGTAAAGTTGGCACTAATTAGGAACTTGGGTCATTATAGTTGTCACCCCTGTCTACTAACATACTGTCCATTATTCGACTGCTTATCAGTAAATTACGACAATCCTAATTTTCTCAGAATTTCTTGCTATTGTTCTATTTTTTTTTTTCAATAGATAAATGTAAGCTGTAATATTTTGACCTTAATAGGTACCCGCATAAACAGACTGGTTCCCATAATAATCACCACGCTTGCTCAATGCGGGTTGGCGATTTCAAACTTATAATTAGAAGTTATAAGCCCAGGTTTCCTTCACCGTTTGTCAGTGGTGTCTAAATAATCTTAGAAAGTACATATAACTTGAAAAAAATCACTTTAGTAGGTACTGGCTGTTGATAAGTTTCGAACCCGTATCCTCATGCATGAGAAGCGAGCATCTTAGGACTCCGAGCCACCACGACGTGACTTTACCTACAGCTAAAGTATAAAAATTTTTAGTCGTTCATAATAAAAGGTACTTCATGTACTTATACTTATGTACAAACCACTGATTAAAGGTTACGTACCTACCAACATTGGTATTGTACCAACAAATTATGGAAGGAAATAAATTTAAAACTGTTTAAAACAAACAAGTCAATTATACGAAACATATTTTCTGGCCGAAAACCAAATTAAGAACATAGGCCTACTTAGTCCTTTGTCGCAGTGTAAGTTGCTTACTAAAATATTATTTAGTTCAATACAAACCTTTGATATTCAAATATATAGATAAATTTATCATTATCTAATTAAAAGTTAAAAATTAATATGTAACAAGTTTTATGTCTGACCCATTCCCACGCTAATTAAGTAATTACTGTTAGGATTATAAAACAAGTTTCGTATATTACCTAAATAATAGTTTTCGATAAACTACATTTAGCTTCTGTATTAAATTTACCGAAGGAAGTGGAAATTATCGTTTTGTCTTCTTCTCTAATACTATTCTCTGATTTATTTCGTTGCGGAATCCAAGACGGTTACTCAAATACCTGCGACGCGCTGAAATTCACTGCTCCGGTGTTTTCATGGTAGTATCTTACGCCTGCCATTTCGGGTTACTTTATTTTTGCTTGAAGTAGTTTTCGAACTGAAACCTATGACCAAATCGTTAGTAACTAAATTTTTTCAACGTTTACCAACCCATTTAGCCAGCCGTGGAGCCCAAACAAGACTATTCATGCCACTGGGACGCGCCGTACTGGTGTTCTGGTATTTTCGTGTTGATAAATCATAGGATTAACCAGGAAATTTTAAGATTAAGTTCGGGCTATTACAGCAATAAATTTCAAAAGCTGCTCCTAAATGTAACAAACACTTTTGAAAACCACATCAAAATCGGTTCCGCCCATCGTGAGATAATAACAAATAAACATACAAACATAAATACAGATCCAACTTAGAACCTTCTATTTTGAAGTCAGTAAAATTATACTAAAAACTTCAATACGATCTTTTGACATCCAAATATATATAAAAAATTATCATTATCTAAATAATAGCTAAAAATATTAATAATTATTATGTACCTACTTTTAAAATGAAACGTTTAACTTATTTTAAAATGTGCATAATAATTTTTGCGTTATCGGTTCGCTTTGGCTAGTGTGTACGTGCAACTTTGCATGACGTTGTTGTTGTTGTCTCTTTCTATCGCACTCACTAGTAAAGCGCTCGAGTCGTGTGGAGTAGTTCAGTAGTCGAGTTATTCGGTGATCGGTTAGTGTGCCCGAAGTCGTCAACGGTGACGGTGCTTGACGTGTCTCTCGTTCGTCTTCGTTGTACATGTACAATTTATAATCTGTGGCGTGTTTTGTTTGTTATCAAACATTTTGCTCCGAAAAGTGGATAAAATAAAAAGTCCAATAAAGTTGAACTGTGCAAGTAAAAATAGTACACAGTTAAACGAATCATTCCAATATTATTGAAGTTTACACTGGCTATAAGTGTCTACCATTTTGGGTTATAATCTTAGTTTTGTGAATCAAGCTAAAAGTATTATACAAAAATGGTTTGTGAGAAATGTGAGAAGAAATTGGGCCGTGTGATCACACCGGACCCTTGGAAGTCTGGAGCCAGGAACACCGTGGAATCCGGAGGAAGAAAAGTCGGTGAAAACAAAGCCCTAACTGCAAAGAAAGGGCGATTCAATCCTTATACGAGCAAATTTCAAGAATGCAGGCAAGTTTTTATCCTATTATTTTTATTATAATCCCCTTTTTCTTTCTCCTATGAAATTATACCAAAAAAATCTCCGCGAAATATATAAAATTCTCAATTTATAGGGACAGATCAAACTGGTATTGTATTTTTATTTTTAACAATAGATAAGGCTTCTTTGCGTGTGTTATTAAATGTTTTAAGTTGTGAAATGTACTAATTATTTGTTAGTCATAGTATTTTATATATTTCACACTTCTAAACTGTTAAATTTTAGATAAATGTGAAATTCTTAGCCAAGTCTAATTAGACCAGTTTAACATTCTTATAGCATTCCTTGAGAGCAGTGAAAACCATTATTTTTGTTCTTATCTAAGTTCTAAATTTTTTCTTTCTATTTATGATAGTGACAACCTACACTTATAGGCCACGATCAATGTGAAACATTTGTTAACTGAAACATACCAGTAATATTTAATCAACTATTTCGACTATTTTAACCCAATTTCATCTGCTTTCAATTGTTCTTTCAACCGCTCAATGCAACTAAAATTCTCACCAAATGAATTACCAGTCCCAATTTTGTAACTGCTAGAAACAACTTGTCATACTAACAGATAATGTTTTTTTTACAGGATCTGCAGAACAAAAGTACACCAAGTTGGCTCACATTACTGCCAAGCCTGCGCCTACAAGAAAGGAATATGTGCTATGTGCGGGAAAAAAATATTAGACACCAAAAACTATAGACAAAGTTCTACATAGAATCTTTTTTTAGTTAGTTTTTTAATGAAGATAGAATGTGAAGATTTGAAATGTTTTTTTTGTAAATTTGATAATCTATGTACAATGGCCAATGGGTCAACCTGATGCTACTTTTTTATTGTAGTTTTGACTTTACATCAAAAGTATAACGTAGAAAATTGAACGAAAATGTTTGTAGCACTACAGTACTTGTGAATTCATATTACTCATTTATTGTATTAATTACCTGTGAATTTTGATGTTTCAATCAAATAGTGAACTGTCAATTGAGAGGTTTGCCCTTCACAGTAAAGGGCTATACGTAGTTTAGTAGTAATTAAAATGATTTATTTGGGAATTTATAATTTAATGTATGAGCAAATGTCTTTTAGGGACTTATAGCTATGTATTAAATGTAAAAGATTATTGTATCATGATTGATATTAACTGTCTGTAAAGTAACTATGTATTTGGAAAAAAAATTATGTTTACTGTTTAGTTGAAAATAAATTATGTTTGATATTAAAGTCCAATGTAGTTTGTTAATTTCATAATTGATAAGATTTTGTAAAATATTGTAAATATCTAAAACTCAAAGATTTAACCAGATTATTAAACATTAAATAAAATGTTTCTGTAATTGTTATATTTCTTGTACATAATAATGTATGTATGTTATTTTTAAGGCATTAGTTCTAATAAACTTGATATAATTAAATCTTTGTATTTCATTTATATTATCTAGTTAAGCTTTGTTATAATTTTTACTATAACATCTTATCCTCTTATATGTGACAATAGCAAACACATTGTGTCTCGCGTATATCTACGTACGACTTACCAGGAGTTAAGTATTCATATAGATCTTACTTTTCATTGCTCGAAAGGAATCAATTATTTCGCCAATTATATTCATCTCGGAAGTCAATGCAGCATTTTTATAAATAAAAAAGATGAAAGGGCAGTAGACGAGCAAATATCACCTGATGGTATGCAATCGACGCCGCCCATGGACATCCGCAACAAAAGAAGAGTTGAGACAGAGACAGAGGACAAGTGCATTATCAGTCTTTAGGGATAGGAGAGGACAAGTGCGTTGCAGCTTTTTTTAAGGGGGGATAAGAATCCAATGACTCCTCCCGCCTTGGGAGAGGCAAGAGTGAGTGTCACATTCTCACAGACCAAAAACCACCCCGTTTCTACTCCTGCTTCAAGCCGGAGCATCGGTAACCAGTTGAGTTGTCCGCAGCTCCGGGGAGGATTGGTGATTTTGGCTAGTCCCTCGTATGAAGAGGAGCCTCCATAGTCCAGCTGTACAGTCCTGGGCTGTTGTTATTGTAGCTTGTTGTGTACGTGACGTTTTCGCAAAAAATCTTCCCACGCACGATAGTTCAAATCAAAAGATTTATATTTAGGTATAAGTAGATAACAGTGTCATAGGAGCCAGTAGGTAGGTACCTACCTACTAGGTACTTAAACGATAAGGTGCTCAGTACAATTTTAATAATAGTTTAGATGACAAATTTTTATTTTACATGTCCGTCTGATAGATTACGGAAAAACATTAGACACGTATTTTTTTATTTTCTTATGGAAACGAATAGTTTCAAAGATATATTTATTTGAAATATGGCATGACGTCACTTTTGAGTACCTACGATTTATACTCTATAATGACGTAGCTACCTCCCGCTCCTAAACTTTGATTCGTTGTATCTAAGTATTGTTTTCTTATACGACAAAATAAAAAATACGTGTCTAATATTTTTCCATTACCTAACTGACGTACTAATTACATTTTTTATTTTCATACCCTGTCATCATCCCTATTGATAACTGCAATTTCTCACGTTTAACAATAGAGAAAAGAAACAAAAGGTAAAGTTGGCACTAATTAGGAACTTGGGTCATTATAGTTGTCACCCCTGTCTACTAACATACTGTCCATTGTTCGACTGCTTATCAGTAAATTACGACAATCCTAATTTTCTCAGAATTTCTTGCTATTGTTCTATTTTTTTTCAATAGATAAATGTAAGCTGTAATATTTTGACCTTAATAGGTACACACATAAACAGACTGGTTCCCATAATAATCACCACGCTAGCTCAATACGGGTTGGCGATTTCAAACTTATAATTAGAAGTTATAAGCCCAGGTTTCCTTCACCGTTTGTCAATGGTGTCTAAATAATCTTAGAAAGTACATATTACTCGGCAAAAATAACTTTAGTAGGTACTGGCTGTTGATAAGTTTCGAACCCGTACCGTCATGCATGAGAAGCGAGCATCTTAGAGCTCCGAGCCACCACGACGTGACATTACAGCTAAAGTATAAAAATTTTTAGTCGTTCATAAGAAAAGGTACTTCATGTACTTATACTTACGTACCAACCACTGATTAAAGGTTACGTACCAACATTTGTATTGTACCAACAAATTATGGAAGGAAATAATAACTGAGCATTTAAAGTACTCAGGTATATTTTACAATATTTTACGGTTTAAAACCGTTTAAAACAAACAAGTCGAAACATATTTTCTGGCCGAAAACAAAATTAAGAACATAGGTCTACTTAGTCCTTTATCGCAGTGTAAGTTGCTTACTAAAATATTATGTAGTTTCAATACAATCTTTTGACATTCAAATATATAGATAAATTTATCATTATCTAATTAAAGGTAAAAATTAATATGTAACGAGTTTTATGTCTGACCCATTCCCACGCTAATTAAGTAATTACTGTTAGGATTATAAAACAAGTTTCGTATCTTACCTAATTAATAGTTTTCGATAAACTACATTTAGCTTCTGTATAAAATTCACCGAAGAAAGTGGAAATTATCGTTTTGTCTTCTTTTCTAATACTATCCTCTGATTTATTTCGTTGCGGAATCCAAGACAGTTATTCAAATACTTGCGACCTGCGACGCGCTGGACTTCACTGCTCCGGTGTTTTCATGGTTGTATCTTACGCCTGCCATTTCGGGTTACCTTATCTTTGCTTGAAGTACTTAGTTTTCGAACTGAAACCTATGACCAAATCGTTAATAGGTAACTCAATTTTTGCAACGTTGACCAGCCCATGTAGCCAGCCGTCAGCCCAAACAAGACTATTCATGCCACTGGGACGCGCCGTACTGGTGTTCTGGTGTTTTCATGTTGATAAATCTTAGGATTTACCAGGAAATTTTAAGATTAAGTTCGGGCTATTACAGCAATAAATTTCCAAAACCTGCTCCTAAATGTAACAAACACTTTTGAAAACCACATCAAAATCGGTTCCGCCCATCGTGAGATAATAACAAATAAACATACAAACATAAACACAGATCAAACTTAGAACCTTCTATTTTGAAGTCAGTAAAATTATACTAAAAACTTCAATGCGATCCTTTGACATCCAAATATATATAAAAATTTATCATTATCTAAATAATAGCTAAAAATGTATAATTATAGGTACTTTTAAAATGAAACGTTCAACTTAATTTTAAAATGTGCATAATAATTTTTGCTTTATCGGTTCGCTTTGACTAGTGTGTACGTGCAACTTTGCATGACGTTGTTGTTGTTGTCTCTTTCTAACGCACTCACTAGTAAAGCGCTCGAGTCGAGTTGAATTAGTTGAGTAGTCGAGTTATTCGGTCAGTCTCAGTGTGCCCGAAGTCGTCAACGGTGTCGGTGTTTGACGTATCTCTCGTTCGTCTTCGTTGTACATGTACAATTTATAATCTGTGGCGTATTTGAGTGTTTTGTTTGTTATCAAACATTTTGCTCCGAAAAGTGGATAAAATAAAAGTCCAATAAAGTTGAACTGTGCAAGTAAAAATAGTACACAGTTAAACGAATCATTCCAATATTATTGAAGTTTACACTGGCTATAAGTGTTTACCATTTTGAGGTTATAATCCTAGTTTTGTGAATCAAGCTAAAAGTATTATTCAAATATGGTTTGTGAGAAATGTGAGAAGAAATTGGGCCGTGTGATCACACCGGACCCTTGGAAGTCTGGAGCCAGGAACACCGTGGAATCCGGAGGAAGAAAAGTCGGTGAAAACAAAGCCCTAACTGCAAAGAAAGGGCGATTCAATCCTTATACGAGCAAATTTCAAGAATGCAGGCAAGTTTTTATCCTATTATTTTTATTATAATCCCCTTTTTCTTTCTCCTATGAAATTATACCAAAAAAATCTCCGCGAAATATATAAAATTCTCAATTTATAGGGACAGATCAAACTGGTATTGTATTTTTATTTTTAACAATAGATAAGGCTTCTTTGCGTGTGTTATTAAATGTTTTAAGTTGTGAAATGTACTAATTATTTGTTAGTCATAGTATTTTATATATTTCACACTTCTAAACTGTTAAATTTTAGATAAATGTGAAATTCTTAGCCAAGTCTAATTAGACCAGTTTAACATTCTTATAGCATTCCTTGAGAGCAGTGAAAACCATTATTTTTGTTCTTATCTAAGTTCTAAATTTTTTCTTTCTATTTATGATAGTGACAACCTACACTTATAGGCCACGATCAATGTGAAACATTTGTTAACTGAAACATACCAGTAATATTTAATCAACTATTTCGACTATTTTAACCCAATTTCATCTGCTTTCAATTGTTCTTTCAACCGCTCAATGCAACTAAAATTCTCACCAAATGAATTACCAGTCCCAATTTTGTAACTGCTAGAAACAACTTGTCATACTAACAGATAATGTTTTTTTTACAGGATCTGCAGAACAAAAGTACACCAAGTTGGCTCACATTACTGCCAAGCCTGCGCCTACAAGAAAGGAATATGTGCTATGTGCGGGAAAAAAATATTAGACACCAAAAACTATAGACAAAGTTCTACATAGAATCTTTTTTTAGTTAGTTTTTTAATGAAGATAGAATGTGAAGATTTGAAATGTTTTTTTTGTAAATTTGATAATCTATGTACAATGGCCAATGGGTCAACCTGATGCTACTTTTTTATTGTAGTTTTGACTTTACATCAAAAGTATAACGTAGAAAATTGAACGAAAATGTTTGTAGCACTACAGTACTTGTGAATTCATATTACTCATTTATTGTATTAATTACCTGTGAATTTTGATGTTTCAATCAAATAGTGAACTGTCAATTGAGAGGTTTGCCCTTCACAGTAAAGGGCTATACGTAGTTTAGTAGTAATTAAAATGATTTATTTGGGAATTTATAATTTAATGTATGAGCAAATGTCTTTTAGGGACTTATAGCTATGTATTAAATGTAAAAGATTATTGTATCATGATTGATATGAACTGTCTGTAAAGTAACTATGTACTTGGAAAAAAAATATGTTTACAGTTTAGCTGAAAATAAATTATGTTTGATATTAAAGTCCAATGTAGTTTCCTAATTTGTTAATTTCATAATTGATAAGATTTTGTAAAATATTGTAAATATCTAAATCTCAAAGATTACCTAAACCAGATTATTAAACATTGAAGAAAATGTTTCTGTAATTGTTATATTTCTTGTACATAATGTATGTATGTTAATTTTAAGGCATTAGTTTTAATAAACTTGAAAAAATTAAATCTTTGTATTTCATTTATATGATCTAGTTAAGCTTTATTACAATTTTTAATTTAACCTCTTATATGAGACAATAGAAAACACATGACTGCCTCGTTGGCCGAGTGGTCGTAAGTGTGACTGCCGGGCAAGGGGTCTTGGGTTCGATTCCCAGGTCGGGCAAAGTATTACTGGGTTTTTAAAAATTCTCAGTAGTAGCACGGAGTCTGGAATTGTGCCCGGTATATGGCAATAGGCTCACCTCCTATTACATGGGACTCATAACATAAATAGTGAAAAGTGTGTGTTACATTGTACAGTGGCATAATGTGCACCTCTGCACTCTCTCTTCGGGAATAAAAGGCGTGATGTTACGTTATGTAGAAAACACATTGTGTGTCGCGTATATCTACGTCCCGACATAGCAGGGGTTAAGTCTTCATACATATCTTACTTTTCATTGCTCGAAAGGAATCTCTTTTTTGGAATGAGGGGCACATAGACATCTAGTAACAGTAAATTTTTAAGTATAAGTGACCTCTACAATTTCGCCAATTATATTCATCTCGGAAGTCAATGCAGCATTTTTATAAAATAGGGTGAAAGAGCAGTAAACGAGCAAATATCACCTGATGATAAGCAATCGACGGCAACACTAGAGGAGTTGAGAGGATAAGTGCATTGCCAGATTGCCAGCATTTTAGGGATAGGAGAGGACAAGTGCGTTGCCAGCCTTTTTTAAAACAAAAATTAGTCATCTAACGTATTATTAGAATTGTACTTAGTACCTTATCGTTTAAGTATCTAGTAGGTAGGTAGGCCTCCTATTATGACATTGTTATCTATTTATACCTAAATATAAATCTTTTGATTTGAACTTCCAACGCACGATGCGTTGGAAGATTTTTTGCGAAAACGTCACGTACACAACAAGCTACAATAACAACAGCCCAGGACTGTACAGCTGGACTATGGAGGCTTCTCTACATACGAGGGGCTAGCCAAAATCACCAATCCTCCCGGGAGCTGCGGACAATTCAACTGGTTACCGAGGCTCCTGCTTGGAGCAGGAGTAGGAACGGGGTGGTTTTTGGTCAGTGAGAATGTGACACTCACTCCTTACCTCTCCCAAGGCGGGAGGAGTTATTGGATTGTTATCCCCCCCCCCCCTTAATGTCAGATTACGATAATAGGTAATTTAATACTTTGATTCCGATGAAGGCAATCTATTTTTCTTGTGGCATCGAGCATTTCTTTCTTTATTTAAACAAGAGTTTATTTTTTTTCTTGTATAGAAGCACTATTTTATAATTATGGATTGTCAGTATACATATGTGAGGACCATGTCAGACTTAAGATATTTGTTTTCTCTTGGTTTTGTTTTCTTTTTCTATTTTAGTATGTTCTGTTATTTGTATGTTGCGTCAGGTATCTCTTTACATTATTCTCACATGTGTGTACAATATTGGAATATGTATCTGAGCAATGTAAAACAGACTTTTTAAAAGAGTAACGAATGGAGTTTTTTGCTCGTTCTTCTCCACTCGAATCGACATTTTGGAACGAGCGCCTAGCTTCACTGACGGACAGACTGACAGACTATTATATATTTCATATTTGTTGACGTTTCAAAAGTACCAAATTATGGTTTAATTGAAATAAATGCTTTTGAGTTTGAGTTTGAGTTCCGTGTGGTAAATGATTTAAAAATATTAGACACGTATTTTTATTATTTTCTTACGGAAACGAATAGTTTCGAAGATATATTGATTTGAAATATCGCATGACGTCACTTTAGAGTACGATTTATACACTAAAATGACGTAGCTACCGCGCCCACTCCTAAACTTTGATTCATTTTATCTAAGTATTATTTTCTAAAAAAATACGTGTCTAATATTTTTTCATTACCTAACTGACGGTCTAAATACGTTTTATATTTCATACCCTGTCATCATCCCTATTGATAACTGCAATTTCTCACGTTGAACAATAGAGAAAAGAAACAAAAGGTAAAGTTAGCACTAATTAGGAACTTGGGTCATTATAGTTGTCACCCCTGTCTACTAACATACTGTCCATTGTTCGACTTCTTATCAGTAAATTACAACAATCCTAATTTTCTCAGAATTTCTTGCTATTGTTCTATTTTTTTTTCAATAGATAAATGTAAGCTGTAATATTTTGACCTAAATAGGTACCCGCATAAACAGACCGATTCCCGTAAAACTTGTTCATTTTAAGTTTCAACAGTATATTTACGCCCGCGGCTTAGGACGCGTGTTGAAATTATTTTCTTTTAAATCATTGCCCCACACTAGTATTTTCTCCTGTGTCGTGGGAGCCTTTACAAACATACAAGTTCACATACACATGACACACAGACCCAGAACAATAATCTGTGGATCATACAAAGAGTGATCCTGTGCGGGAATCGATCCTGGGACACGTTGCGCGGCAGCCAGTTGCTCAGCTACTGCGCCAACCGTGCAGTCTGATATAAGGTTTCTAACCTCTTGAATAGCTCTATAGTGGGTATTTTTTTTAAGGGGGGAAAATCATCGGTTGACTGCTCCCGCCTGGGTGAGACAGATATATTAAAGAAGTTTTTTAATATTTCTGTGGGCGGGAAGGAGTGTCAGACTCTTACTGCAGCCTCGGTATAAGCGACCACTGCTGACCAAAGACCTCTCCTTACAAAAAAGGTCTGAGCATTAATTACCACGCTTGTTCAATGCGGGTTGGCGATTTCAAACATATTATTAGAAATTATAAGCCCATGCAGGTTTGATCACGATGTTTTCCTTCACTGTTTGTTAGTAGTAGGTATATAAATAATCTTACAAAGTACCTATATATAACTCGGAAAAAGTCACATAAGTACTTTTGCTGTTGGTAGATTCCGAACCCGTACCCTCATGTATGAGAAGCGAGCATTTTAGAACTCCGAGCCATCACGACGTGACTAAACAGCTAAAATATTAAAATTGTTGGCCGTTCATAATAAAAGGTACCTACTTAATGTACCTACTTATGTACCAACCACTGATTAAAGGTTACGTACCAACATTTGTATTGTACCAACAAATTATGGAAGGCAATAATAACTGAGTATTTTAAGTACCTAAGTACCTATGTTTTACAATATATTACAGTTTTACAAACAAGTCAATTATACGAAACATATTTTCTGGCCGAAAACAAAATTAACAACATAGGTCTACTTAGTCCTTTGTCGCAGTGTGAGTTGCATACTACAATATTATGTAGTTGTATATTTTGAAATGTTATTTCGTTATTTTGTAGTTAGTTGTGTTGTGATCCTGTGTTATTTTAAGGTGTGATGATTTTTTAAATATTTTCTATCTAGAACCATACTTGATATTTGTAATTGGGTCGCTGAAGAGGAAGACAAAACACGTTATTGCTAATTAATGTTCCTTCAATCTTTGTCACTAGCGATAATTTCGTAAATCTAAAATCCATTCTAAATAATTTCTAATTTAAATTCTAATCTAAATTCCATTGTCTAAAAGGTGTAAAGAACCTAACGGGTTACCGGGGCTCCGTTTTGTTAAAAAGTGTAACCCACCCTGTACACACTATAGATGCATTAAAGTAATTTGAATTTGGATTCGCGTTTAGACACATGAAAGGTTAAACCTCAAAAAATAATATAAACAACACATAACATATGTACCAAATGGCGAAAAAGTTATGTAACATTTTGTACTCTGCCTTACCTTATTAATTCAGAAAACCAAGGTTCAGAAACCTGCCTAATATTACGTACATTAATTAAAAATAAGGAAAGACATAACCTGCCCACTTCAGGTGATACAAAACAAAGATCAACCTTCCTTTTTTATGAGAGAGCATTTTCCCCCATAAGTGACAGAGAAGTAAAGTGAAGCGACATAATAAGTATCTAAGAACTAACGAACTAAGTACCTAGTAAGAAACTTATACTAGATTTCACACCAGCAGATTGGAAATACAAATGAATTCAAGGAAAAGTCGTACAAACGCAGCAACGATGATAATGTCCAGACCCCGTTTGCAAAACTTCTAAATAATATTGTAAAAGTAAACGAGGAACGTATTGAAGCCATGAAGAAAATGATACATTTACAAGACTATATACTGACAAAGAATAGACTGAAAAATTATGAAGATTTCTACGATTCTTCTGAAGATGAAGATAACAGAATATTACGGGTACGGGGATTATCTGTGAGTATTTTTTACTAGTGAAACTTAGTTAAGTGGGACCTGGATAAGTGAGAAACCTCCATAACTGAAACTCATGCTGAGGTCCCAACACTTTGGCACTGAATTACCTCTGTTAGTGGGACGAGGTAAACCTCTATATCTAGGATTTGTTCTTTCGATTTATCATCATAGTTACCTCTATAACTGAGACAGCGAGTAAATTTTATATGCATAAACCTCTGTAACTGAGATAACATTGTTTGTTTACTCATTCTTATTCTACCCACAAATTCCACACGTAATTCCAAATCCACCTCTATTAATGGAACCCTCTGTAAATGAGACAGATATTTATTTATACCTGTCGTATAAGTGAAATGACTTTGCAGGTCCCTTGATGTTTTACTTAACCAGGTTTCACTCTATATTTTGTAACTAAGTAGCTTCTGCCAGCGGCTTCGCCCGCGTGATAATTAGCCTATATGTCATTTCATACCCTAATCTACCCGTGTTCCATGGTCATCCCTTTGGCAATTTAGCGGTTTTGACGTAATTAAGTAACAAATATACACACAAACTTTCGCATTTATAATACTAGCTTCTGCCAGCGGCTTCGCCCGCGTTAAAGAAGTGCCTAATCTACCCCTGTTGTCGCGGAGAACCTAACGGGTAACCGGGCCTCCGGCTCGACATGCAGGACAAGGAACAGGGTGGTTTTTAGTCAGTAAGAGTATGACACTCCCTCCCGCCTCGCCCAGGCGGGAGCAGTCATTCGATGATTTTCCCCTCATAAAAAAAACCCTCTGTTCAAAATTCCATCCCGATCCATTCAGCCGTTTTGACGTGACTGAGTAACAAATGAACACACTAACACTAGATTGTAGGTTATCTAGTATTAAATTTAACTTATTAACTTCACACTATACGAAAAGACATCCCGAGCGTACGGCGCGTCGCGTTCCGCGCGCGCCTCAAAGAGCCATCAGACCACCACAGATGGGGCCCAATAGGGCCGATGCCGATTCGGAGTCGCGGAGAACCTAACGGGTAACCGGGGCTCCGGCTCGACGCGCAGGAGAAGGAACGGGGTGGTTTTTAGTCAGTAAGAGTCTGACACTCCCTCCCGCCTCACTCAGGCGGGAGCAGTCATTTGATGATTTTCCCCCCTTAAAAAAAATAAAAAAATACGAAAAGACATTAAATTTGAGACCAAGGACAAAGTACGAAATACCCTTCAGTAAGTATTGTCAGTATTGTCCCTTGCATCAACAGCCCGGCAGAGTCCGCTGGTACAATAGGCCCTCCCCTCCATTACAGATTGGATTTTTTCTATGTCTAGTCACAGAGCTGTTAACAAACTGACGGATCACCTGATGGTAAGCAATCAGCGGCGCCCATGGACACCCAAGGTTATAGGGATTGCTACAAGTGCGTTATCGGGTTTTGGGGGATTTAAGGATGGGGGGCTTGGTGAATGAGGATTCTCACTCACACAGCGAAACCGGAAATCGAACTCAAAATAAAGAGGTCAGTCCCCTTGCGACATGACAGTTGAAACAACGCGACCACAAAGGTAGTAATAAAATAATAGCAATTGATATATATGTATTACCAATTTATTGATATATTATTATTACAGAAAAGACTACAACTTCGTGGAGACAAATTGAGAGCTATTTGATTGGATCTCCGGTAACCTTATACAGCAGAATCTCGCAAGCGTTGTTTCACGCCAGTGTTCTGTGAGGCCGTGGTGTCACTCGAGCGGGCCCATTCGTACCGAAGCATACCTCTCTTGAACTAACTTTATTCTAAATAAATTATTAGGCTAGTAAAATATTAAATCAACAACCGGTAGCTAATAAATTAAATAGTAATAAGAATTTACTCCGTATAATTTCAATTCTTTGTTAATCGAATTCAATAAATGGAAGTGTTCAGTTTGTACAAAACGTGTTGGTTACATTGTCGGTGCTTCGATTCGTATGTTAAAAGTTGGTAATTCGAATTACTTACATTTAGTACAATTACACCTTATTTTACGTAAGTCATTACAATCAATCTAAAAGTCATAATCTATTCGTTAATATTAACAAAGAAACAATAGGTACACGAGTTTGCAACGAAACGCACTCTACAAACAAATACATACCAACAAATTAACTAAAAACACGCAGAAATCAAATTACTGATTATATTTCTCATTAAAAATGCAACTTTATGTTTGTCTCAACAATCTAATCAAATTCTCTACGGTTGACAACATGTCCAATCGACAGGCAAAGTTACAAAGAAAATGTTTTATCTGACTTAAAATAAAATAGACATTTTGATTTTACTTGTACGATGTTACGGCGTTTGCCCTGCTATGTAGTGATTGTCACATTAATTTGGGGTGTAAGTATGTATCATTTTATTGAACATAAATATTATAGTGTTCTTAATAACTATTATCTATAGGGAAACATACTAAATTAACTAAAAATAACGACTTATTCGCGTACACACTCGTATGTACTGCCGCGACCGCGCACGCTGCTCATGAGGAAGAGTCTTTTGTGACTCGAAACTAGTTTTTCTCAGGATATTTACGTGTGTAAACCGATATTTTTTATTATTTTAGTTTAATATTTACTCCTTAATGGTTGATCAAAACAATTATTATAAGTCGGTTGTTATCGTTTGAGTTAAGCGTGGCATCAAGCCGATATTTTTTTAAGTTAGGAATCTAGTGGTGGATTTAATGCAAATAAAATATATTCCTTCAGTGATTTGTGGACAATTGGAATATTCAATGCCCCATGGGAATAGCCAACAGCGCTAGAGTGTCCCTTGAGTGTAGTGATGTTATTTTGTAACCGTGAAATGTCTTCTTCTTTGTTATAATTGTAATTGAGAGAAACATCATGATTAATTACAATTTTGTGAATCCCAAATGCATACAAAAATTAATCAACTATAACACTCAGAATTTCAGTACACACACATGCACAGGTACAAAAATATAATCGAATGATTCCAGATATGTGTAATTCAGCAAATACAACAGGTAACAGCGGAGAATGAACAGCAAATTCGAGATTTGTTCAAGAGCAACTTGACAAGGAATGAATTCTCGAACCTTCTAAAATCATTGATCAAGCTGAATGAGGGGAGGGTCAATGTACTGAAAAAAATATCTAACTTAGAGGACTACGGACTGCTAAACGAGGTCCTTAGATCTGGAGACCACAAATCCAGCGAGAATACGGACTTCAAAAATTTGTACCTTGTCATCTTATCGAAAGTAAGTTTCTGAAGTTGTTTTTCCCAGTAGCTATAGGTTAGCAAAGTATCCATTAGTTTGCTTCGTAGTATTGTTGAATCTATCTTTGTTTTTTTTTTAATCTTTATTGTAATGCTTTTCATCTTGTCTTTAGCAACCGAAGAGGAAGTAGCAGTCAACATATGTTGTTCCCACTACTAGACTAAAGAAAATAAGTGGTTCGTTTAGATGTCAGAGTATACGCTTTTACAATAAGATTCCCAGCCATATCCAAAATTTGAGTCTAAATAAATTTAAAAATGTCATTAAAGATAAATTTTATAGTAAAGCTTATTATAAAATAAAAGACTACCTAGATGATAGTCTGGCTTGGGAATAAGCTGCTGTAACGTCCACACAGGTCATGTTGACATGTTTGTAACATATAGTTACATTTCTTTTTTTTATATGCAATTTGACATTATTGTTTTAATGTGACATTGTTTTTCATATGTTGTTCTAACTTGACATTTACTTTTTATTTAACAATTGTTAGTGCTAGGACCGTGCGAGACTTTGCCTCACCATTTCTTTTCTAATTACCCTTTTTCTGACAGTTTGAGTATTTGTGCGACCCACGCAAATGTTCTTTAGGTTGGTATTGTTCGTCGAATCAGTCAGCCTCACCTGTTAATTGAGCTGACTGTAAACCGACACATGCGTACTGCCTTCAGAACGGGTCCGCTCAAACTGTTGTGGTTCTTTCCTCAAAAGCCCACTACAGAAAGAACTGGCACGGTTCTCACACATAATCTGTTATACATATTGTCTGGACTTTAAAAGAGACAGACCTCTGAGTTTGTTTCGGCATTTCTTCTCAGAGTAGTCAGTTAGGAAATGTCGACCTCATCGTTCGCTTGATAAAATTGACGTGTAAAAGTGCTGCCTTGTAGCCTATTTGCAGAAATAAATTCACTTGTTTCACTTGTTTCACTTGTTTCAACAAAGGATGTCAGTGCAATGAATTTACCTCGAATGTAATCTATTGATTGATTAAAGATAACTGTATTAACTTAGTTTTCTTTCCCTCTCGGCTCTCCTTCAACCTTCAGCTTGTAATTTGTATTAAATCACTAATAATTAATTAATAGGCAAAATCATTTAGGAATTAATCTTTCATTAGTAGTTCGTTTATTAACCAAGTGATTACAAAAACAGTGTTCCAACATAAAACACAGGTAAAAATTTTATTCGTAAAATTCTGTAGAAACTTTTCAGTTGCAGGTAGAAGCACTCCCTTTTACATTTTAAAGTAGGTTATATTTTCCAGAACGAATCGAATCCTACCCGAAGAAATATGGGGGAACAAGTTGTGAAACTATTTCCATCACTCACCACCGCAAATAAATTGCGGAAACGTTCTATTGTTTCGACCCTTGTACCAGTTTCAAATCCGATTCGTGGGCCACCCGACATAGAACCACAAAAAGCGTTAAATATCGCAAGAATGGCCAAAATGAATCTTAGAACTAGAAACAGGTACAAAATAGACGATGGAAGTCACTTATTCTCGACCTTAGAACCTTCTCACAACTTACAAGTTGAATTGCTTGATACTAAACGAATAATTTCATCTGAAGAAGAAACAGAAGAAAATCATTCAACATCACAACCACCTAGAGTTAGTATAAAGGTCAACAAGCAAGATAAAAAAGCTCAAGGTCGGTTTGAAATTATTACAAACACAAATGCAAATAATTATCATGGCGGGACAAGCATTAGTTCTTTAGAATCTAAAGAAAAATCTAACGACTATAAAGACATAGACCTAACATTGGAAAATGATCGAAACACTAAATTAATGAAAATACAAGACAAATTTTCTAACCACAAAGTTGATAAACCAATAAAGTCAGAAAAAAGAATTGACAGTGTTAAAGGAACAAATAATGACGGCAGCAAAGAGGGATCTGAAAGTAGTGAAGAGACAAATAATAAATCGGTCTCAATCGAAACTTATGGCGAAGAAAAGAAAGAAAAAGAAAAAACAAATAGAGACTATCCAGAACATAATAATAAGCAAACAAAAAATAATCAAAACAAAAGATATAAATTAAATAAAAACAATGAAAGTACTCGTGAAAAGCCGCATTACAGTAATGAAAGTCCGCCAGCATCTAGAGATAATTTAGACGAATATAGTAACAACAATAAAAAACCTAAAATTATGGTAGGAGATTCAAGTGAAAGAGATCATGGTAAACTAAATTTGAAAAAAGAAGTGTCGGTCAAAGTTGGTCAGCCTTATAGACGCCCAAAACTAATTAAAACGTATCCAGTCGATCACGACCGTAGAATACATATCGAAGACGTTAAGTCGAAGGAAAATTATATGCCAAATAAAGCATCAAAAGTTCATTCAGATCGATTCAGCGATAATGATCACAGAATAAGCCACGAAGAAAAGTCGTATGAAAAAGATAATAAAGAACACAAAGATAAATCTGAACACTCTAATGAAAAGTCTGGCCATCGAATAAATTTTAACTCGAAGGAGCACGAGTCTAGTGAAGAAGATGAGGCTAAAAATCATAAGGAGTATTCCAAAGAAGACGAACACAAATCTAATACCAATTCACATAAATCTAATGAAAAACATAGCAATAAACCGCCTAAAATGACTTCAGATCACTTTAGTGACGACGATCATCGATTTAGTGATAAGTCATCTGAATATGACTTAGACAGTAAACATGACTTAGACAGTAAACATGACTTAGACAGTAAACATGACATAGACAGTAAACATGACTTAGACAGTAAACATGTATTAGACAGTAAACATCCCAAAACAAGTTCAAACCACAATGACAACGATCATAGAATTAGTCTTGATGATTTTACAAAGAACCAAATCAATAAGCACAAAACCATTGTGACACATTCCAATGAAAACGACCATCGACCTAATCAAGATGACAGTAAGTCACATGAAAAACAGCCAACTAACAAAAATAAAAGCAGTTCAAAGTACTCAGATGAAATTAATAAATCGTATGAAAAAGAAGAAAAAATGAAAAATAAATCGTATGATAAAAAAAACACATCAAGAGATATAAAACAACCTTTAAAAGAGACCAATGAACAAGCGCATAAGGTTGCTTCAAATGAAAATAAATACAAAAAGAAAGTAATGGATAGCAAAATCGCTAAAACAACTCCCAAATACAATAAAGATTCAATTGATCTTAAACCGAAAAATAATGTTAGGAATGATCAATCAAATGAAGATGACGGATATAAATCACATAAAGATGATGTAAAACATTCTGAGGAAAACGACGACAAAATAAATTTCAGCAAAAATCAAGAAAAGAACAATGAAAACAATTATAAAAACACTAAAATAAATAAAGATGAGTCAAAAGAGATAGAACCGCATGGAAATTCGTATTCAAAACCTACAAAATATGCGCCTTTATCTAGAGAGGACCATGACAGTAAATTCCCTTCGCCAGGTTCAAGTATGTCCCATGAAACACCTAATAGAAATGGAGTTAATAAAATCAACAAAGATCTCCCAAACAAAAGGGACCATAAACAACCAAAAGACCTCAGTGCTCATACTGACGACGAGATAATATCAAAACCAAAACATCCCTCCTTCGAAGATGATCACGGAGAAAAACAATCTGAAGCAGGTAAAGACTATAGAGGTGAAGATTATCGGAGCTCAGAGGAATCTGAAAAAATCCCTAATACTCGTGTAGTTATGAAAGATAAACCACAAGAAGTAAAACATTCTAAGCCCCCTTCAGCAGAAGTCGATGAATATGACCAACCAGGTGCGAAGCCTCAAGAATCAAGAAAGAATTTTGTAAAATGTCTAAGCAAAAAAGCGTTAAAATTATGCATAAAATCATGCAACAGCGCTTACAAAAACGTTTGTCGAAAAATGAAATGTACATCAAGATCGAAAAAAGCACTAAAAAGGGAATGCAAACGAAGTTGTAAAAATATATTTTCATCAAGTAAATCAAGTAAATATAGTGATGATAGCGGCAGCGGGTAACTGTTTTGTATTTAAAGTAGACAAAATACATAATAATTAACTAAATCTATCTTAGTCGAGTATCCTACGAGTTAATCAATAATCTAAATACGAGACTAAATAAGAATTAGCGAACTCTAATGCTAATTTCGGTACTACTAGTCCTTCAGAGGCTCCTAAATCCTAGCACTAATGTTAAAGTTGATACCTCTTAACTTTCATAATAATATATCCAACGTCCTGACCTGCCTATCATACGTTTGATTATTATTGACATCTTTTATTAAAAAATTGCTTTTGGACATAAATCAAAAGTAGAAAAATAATATATTCTCATAAGAAAAAATGAAAAAGAGACTGATAGTTTTAATTTTAGTTGCACTCCACCCCCACGATGAATTTAATTTGAAGTGATTTAAAATAATAATGCTATAGAAAATAATAGAATTATTGCTTTTATACCGTATAAATCATATCGATTTTAAAGCCGAATTAATTTTTTTTTTGATCAGTAAAACCATCACTACTCTACAGTACCAATACCTATACGGTATAGGTAATACCCATTTTTAAAAACAAACGCATGCCGAGATGAAAATCGCTAAAAAAAATACAGCGAAACTTCACAAGTTTTTTCTAAAATTGTAACAAATGTTCAAAAGTAAGCCCGATGTCAAGTTAAATAAGAATCTAAAAATTCAATAATTTCTTATTTCTATTTAAAATTAAATGGCGGAACGGTTAATTTCGAAAAGTTTTCACAATCAGTTACGTTAAAATGTTCGTAACTAAAACATCGTAAAGCCAATCACTTGTATAAAATTTAATTTGAATTTAAATTGTCGTCGACCATTATGATTCTCGGTTCGTGATCTTTGAAATGATTCTGTTAGCGACGATAGTAACATTATTTTTTGTTGTAAGTAAAAAATTGTTTTTAAACTATAATTTATTAAAGAAATCTTTCCAAAAATCAAGCCTTGTGATTTTAATCAAAACTTTAACTTTGACATTTACTAAAAATTGTTATTTTGTAATATATAACTATGTTTTCATTTAAATTCCAGGGTGCCTTAGATGCCTTAAATATATTTAAAAATTACCAAACAATTTCTAATAACAAGGACAATGATCTTGCTGACTACAGAAATAGCGAAGCGATAGCAGATTCCTATGAGCTACTGGGCTTAATCATTTTAGATGTAAGACCATGTCTATCAATATTTTAAGGTACAAATAGGAAATAATGTGGGACTAACCAATGTCATATACACACTATTTATCATTGACAGTGATAAAAAGCCAAATGGGGAAATTATGACATAATATGTGGAAAACTGTCAATCCCGATCAATGGGGGCTACTGTATTTTTGCTAACCAGATACTGTTGTGGACTTCTCGTTCTTTGTCTAATTGGGAATCAACCATAGGACGTTCAATTGTTAACAGCTGCAGTAATTGGACAAAACGAATTCATGCTAGATTAGCCCCATTTGGTGAGCATAAAAATGGTAGCCTCTATTTTGTTAATAAATGCCTAAGCGCATTAATTGTCAATTTAAATCCCGATAATGAAGAAAAATATTAAAATGACCTTCTAATTTGAGAATGTATTGTTGAAAATTCGTAATATTTAGCGATACTAAATTACTTATAAGCTCAATGACAATAGTGCCAGCGACGAATTAAATGTTAAATTATCTAATTCTGTCAATGAATTCGTATCTTTGACGCGTTGCCCTTAAGTTTACAATTACTTGAATTTATCTCTCGCATGTATGTTTCGGGATTGTCCGATTGTATTCAAAATTTGACAAAAACTGAGTCCTCAAAAAGTTGAATATTATGATGAACGACGAAAAATGCTATAAAAATAAGCAGAAGTGCATCCTTAAAAACTTCAAGAGAATTGGGTCTCAATGGCAGATATTCGATGCAAGCTAGAAGAAAAGCAATGCCAACTCCATCATAGAAGAAATTAAATGCATTAGTTGAAGACGCACGGTGACATCAATTTATTCTTGTTTTAATGTCAATTTGATTCTATTTACCGTGAGTTAAACTTAAGAAACTATTCAGGCAATCCCAAAACAAACAAGTGAGTAAAACTATCATGTATAATGCTTAGAGCAATATTACTGAAATATAAATGAAAATATTATAATATAAATTTTATATTTTCAGTACAATCCAATAAGTAGGAGAGATAATGATTTGGCCGCTAAAAGAAACGCGACGAAAACTGAATCACGCGAATATGACAAGTACGAAGATAATGGGAATGAAATAGAACCGAGAAGTAAACGTAGACGCAAGAAGAAACGATATGTTGATAGTAACGATAACGCCAAACAAAAAAATGAAAATAAACAGACATTGAAAATACTGGGCGACAGAAAAGTAAGAATAGTAGAACAGAAATTAATCGAATTAATTAAAGAAAAATTAAAGAGGCCCCTGAATAGTGAAGCAAAAAGGAAAATTGAAATGTTTAATAAAATTCAAGGTCGAAATAAAGAAAATTCAGGAGATAAATCATCATCAATTAAAGAAATTAATAAACTGAATAAAGACGAAGTGAAATCCAAACTAAGTCTTGACGACTCTAAAAAAGAACCTCCAAAAAAGAGTATAATAGAGAAAAGCTTCAAAAAAACTGAAAAATATTCTAATAATGAAAATACGGAGCATTTGAGAAAACAAAAGAAAGAAGATAAGAACAAACATGTTAATGTAGATACAACAGAAAGATCAGAAGAACGTCCCAGACAAGAAAAAAGAAAAGGTAAGAAGCAAAAGAAAGTAGAAACATCAAGTGAAGCGGAAATTCTATCTAAACCGAAGCGTTTCGATGTTGTCGGAAAAGGTCGTAGTAATGAATTCGATAGGAATGTGAAACTTAAAAAAAAGCCCCACCAATCTAAAGATGGAACAGAAGAGGAAGAAGAGAAAACACGCGGTGGTAAAAATAAAAATGAATGTATTAATGAATCGCAGTCGAACATTGACAAATGTGTGCGGGCTTGCCAGAGAACCCATGAAGACGTGTGTGACCTCCTAACTTGCTCACAAAAATCATTAAAAGCTTTACGTATTGAATGTAGTGTTAGTTGCAAAAAAGTATTCCCCATTTTATGTTAATAATTACAAAAATCCAGTCTATGTTGTTAATAGCAATAAAATTTTAAATACAATCTGTTTATTATTTATCTTTCTCGTTAAATTATTTTCAAATCGTCTAAAATCTTAGGAAAAAAAATGTGAATTAGCTAAAAAGTTACTGCTTCGAAAAGAATATTACAACAAACCTCTCAATAGAGGAGGCCTGTAGACTCGAAGTAGACTTTCATAAGCTGTTGGAGATAATAACATACAGCCAGGCAGCCACAACATAAAAAGTACATAATTGAATAAAATATCAATTTACAGCATGATCCCCTCACGAGAAGAAACATAGACATGCCAGAGTTCGGTAATGCGACAGACGTTAAAGATGAAGGTGAAGATGATTTAGATTTAGAAGGCGATGATGCAGAACTGCGTGCTCGTGGCGGCAGCCGAAAGAAGAAACATCGGGATATAGACTTATCAGAAAAGAAAGAAGATCTGGCATCCAAAGCTTTGAGAATTCGGGAAGGAGACACAGACAGCGGTAACACTAAAATATTAAGAAGTGAATGCATATCAGCCACAAGAAAAGAAATGGATAAATGTACGAGGGCCTGTAACAGGGCTCATGAAGACGTCTGCGATAAGTTAAGCTGCTCCATTCGATCTCAAAAAGCTCTCCGCAAAGAATGTGGATTTAATTGTAAAAAGGTTTTTGATCTTAAAGTTTGTTATTAAACATTTACTCCGTGTTGTGTTCTACTGATTTCACTTTGAAAATAATGTTTTAATAGAACTTAGCGTCGATGGACACTATTACAGATCAGTCAATTAACCGCTTAAATGCACCGATATGAGACACAATAGATATGAGATCCACGTTTAGACACACGACGGGTTAAGCAATACTTCATATAGAATCTGAATAAGGCACTGAGGAAGGGTAAGGTATTTCTAGTTAAGACTTATGTGTAATAAAAATCTGAGATGGTTATATTATTCTGTGGTAGGTACAACTCACTAGAGTCTCCTTGCTATATTCAAATAAGAGGACTCCTTGTCACGAAAGAACCAAAATGTTATAACTAGATAAATTTACCAAGCAGCTATAAATTTCTAAGGCCTAGTTCGATGTGTAATTGTGTATCTAACAAAGACTTACACTCTTGTTGACAGAAAACAATTAGCGTTAGTAGGTCATGACGTAATATTTAATAATGATAAAACTAAAGATTAATAATATCTATACAAAATAGAAGCTTTTTTAACAAATGGTTCACCATGATCTACAATGCTGAATGAACAAAGCAATACAGGATATTATTTACATGTTAAAACGATAAAAAACGAATTGGAACCTATAAACACGAGTAATAAAGTTGTAAATAAATTTCCTTCACGTGAACCACACATGGATCATGAAAGTCGTCGTTATTGTAATCCTGAATATTTTGGTAAGTAGTTTCTAATCCATATAGGTAATTTATATCGTTTTTGACCCGTATTAAAATGGCTCTGTCTTAGTAATACAATAGTTTTACAAAGAAATAAAATGGTTAAATCAAAAAATAATTGGTGAACCATTGCAAAAAGCAAACTTCGAAAGCGCATACGAACTGATAGTTAGTACATTATCAAAACATCACGGCGTGTAATTCTCGAAGAGGTATTTCTCGGCGATTGGCACTTGCGATGCAAATAGTGCTAACAAGGTTACATCTAGTTGTCGTGGGCATAAGTCGATGAATATTTATTTCGAGGCATTACAAGGGCGTTACCGGCCTTTTAGGGATTAGGAATTTGAGGATTGTTGGAGATTCAGGGATTGGGGGTAGTAGTAATTGGTACGGTATCCTCACTTACACGATGAAACACAACGCAAGCGTTGTTTCATGTCGGTTTTCTGTGAGGCTATGGTATCACTCCGGTTGAGCCGGCCCATTCGTGCCGAAGCATGACTCTCCCACACTTAAAATGTAGAGGAGGTCCATACTTCAGCAATGGATGGTTATCACAGGATCTGTATCACATCTGCATATTATTTTCCTTCAAAGTTGTTCACCAAAATTACTGAATCCTACTGTTAGTTTGTTTTCATCAATTTCAAAATAGTTATACCGAAAAGAAAAGAGCAGCGGCATAATTAATATCATCCCATGGGAATGGCAAGCAACGAAGATGACTTAAAATGAAACCTTTTGAGCGATAACCAGAAAGTAAGAAAAATATCTTGAAAAATGTCTTTATTACATTAGTTTCGACCTTATTGCAGTTTAATCAAAACCAAATATCGTTCAAGGACTTCCTTTAATCTTCCAGATCGCAATAGAAGCGAAGCACAAGTCGACAAGTACTGATGTATCCAGTGGGGACAGTAAACAAGACTTAACTGCAGAAGGCAGCTCCATAGGAGACTCCGACTACCACGATGACGATACACATATACAGAGACACGGTACGAAAGTCGAAAGAGTACATTTCGAATCAAGACGTTGGCACAAAGGTTGTATAAAGAAAGCAAGTAAAATGTGTACGAAAGCATGCGAAAGGGCTTACAAGACTGTTTGTAAAAGACGTAAGTGCTCCAAAAGATCCAAAAAGACACTCAAAAAAGAATGCAAGAAAAGTTGTGCTAAGAATTTTGAATCTGATAGAAATAGACTATATGAAGAGTAGGATAGGAATGTTTGTTAACTTTATTCTAGAATAGGTGGTGAATAAATTACATGAATATTGAATGTGTGTTGATTGTCTCCCACATTTGTTTAAAGTAAGAACTGCTGTGTGGCATACTGATTTACCTCTATTGATATGTAGAGGTATATGATACTGAAATTTTCAAATATTGCAAGTTACTCAGTGACAAATATATTTGTGAGCTGAATATAGTCTGGGTATTAAGTAGTAGATTCACCTACACAAAATTGTACATACATCACACACTAAATCACTGTAGGTACTCATTATATAAGTATTTGAAGATACCTATGAAGCTAGATGTAGATAGGTCTTAACAATAAACGCAAAAATCTTCGAGGAACTAGTTAACCATCAGGCAGGATTTCAAATCTCTTCAATTCTGACACAGCACATTTCGCCGAAATCTTTGTTGGCTCTGGTCAATGTCCATGTGTGTTGTTTTCGCTTTCTGTGAACCAAATCTTGTGTCAAGTCTCTGGAAAAAGCGATTACTACAAATGAACTTTACGTAAAACTCACTCAAAGTCACTTAAGGCAAGGTTCGAACTAACGCAAGGTTTGTCTTGCACATGCTGAACTGGGGGCTTACTCTTGAATCCAATTCCGATCGATCGGCATTGGTATTATGCAATTTCGTATTCTTGAGGTGCGACACTAGCGCCCATTGCACCTGTATTGCGTGGATATTGAATTAACTAAATGGTATTGAGTTTGTTTATATATTCCGTACTCTGAATGCTATTGTAAGTTGTAACAGCAACGATACGGGTTGTATAGGTAGTATTGACATTGAATAATTATTGAGGTTTTATTGGATTGAAATTGCATTGACATTGAGATTGGTTTCAAGAGTAAGCGCCCTGACTGACTGGTCCCATTATACCACAGACTTGGGACATGAATATCCATCTGTACCTACCTACCTACTAATAAACTAACACTATATCTGTATCAGTCACTTGTTTTGTAGCGTGTGAAATAAAGGTTATTTTTTTTTTTTAATGCTAGTTGTGAACAGAATTATCTAACAATGCTTACTATGGACCGAGATATCTACGAACTATTTTTGCTAACACCGAAATTTACAGCCATATTTGCTGTCTCAGAATAGATTTCTATTAGCCATATTTTCTGCATCTTCTGCATCTAATTTTCTTTCTCCAAAATAATATGGCATCAAAACCCAATATTCCTTGATGATTGATTTGACTTTCATACAATTTTATTATAGTAATTCTGCAACGCAATCTTAGTTTTAATTGAAACTCCAACTAGAATGACATGTTTGGTTAATTTTAATTATTTTAGTTACTGCCATGGAGATATTCGTGAGTGCTGTCGCTGTCTTCTTCTATGGTGTAAGTATTTGAATGTCATTGTAATTAATATCTACAGTTTTCCTTGAAACCAATAATGCAGAGAAAAATATATTAATACATATATGAAATTACTTAAGTGTGGGTGAGCCATGCTGCACGAATGGACCAGTGCGACCGAATTGATACCACAGCCTCACAGAAAACCGACGTGAATCAATGCTTGCTTTGTGTTTCATCGTGTGAGTGAGGTTCCCCGAATCTCCCACAATCCTCAAATACCCAATTCCCAAAAGGCCGGTAACGCACTTGTAACGCCTCTGGTATTTCAGGTGTCCATGGCCGGCGCGCATTGCTTACCATCAGGTGATCTGACTGCTCGTTTACCGGCTTATACCATAAAAATGATTCATGATTCTCTTTTACTTTTCGTTTCGTCACCCATTGGATTGGCAAATTCTTTCCGAATCATTATACCAAATGAATAAAAGACTAAGCAATCAGTGGTAACTTTACCTTCGTTTAGGTAATTAGGTGTAATTCCTGATCAAGACAACTTAAAAATATTTTGTTAAAAATTGAAAAACTTAAAAATTAAGGAAAATGAATGCGTACTATACTGATATTCCAGGCAATAACACAAGCACAGGAGATTTTAAGGGCAGGCAACGATTTCTCCGTCTCCATTTCAGCCAATCGCTCTGAGAGAAACGATTCCAGAGTACTGGCCCTGCTCATTTTAGAAGTAAGTGCTATGGTTCCGTACATGACTGTACTACCGTTAACGTAGCGTGGGACGTCCGCCCACAAGATAGGCAGTAGACGAACTGATTAAGAACTCAGTTATCCGTTGGATGCAAGTCAGAAAAATTCTCAGTAGTAGCACGGAGTCTGGAATTGTGGCCGGTATATGGTATTAGGCTCACCCCCTATTACATGGGACTCCATAACATAAATAGTGAAAAGTGGGTGTTATATTGTACAGTGGTATAATGTGCACTTCTGCTTACCCCTTCGGGTATAAAAGGCGTAATGTTATGTTATGAAATGAGTCGCTCGATTTGTCGCCCTATGATCGTGCCCCTGTGTGCTGTGCACGCTTTGCACGCCCACTTACGGCGGGCCTGGTATCCTCCTTCTGCGAAGCAGTCATGCTAGCTAATGAGGAGGCGGGGCGCGTGAATGAACGTACCTCCTCATGCCCCAGTTGTCGCGAGAGTTGCTGAGCGTGCATCGGGAATCAAGAGATGATCTCCGGCCACCGTAAGCACGGGCATGCGGACGGCAAGCATGGGTGACTCGCCGCCCGACCAGTAACGTCGCGTACGGCGCGCGCTCCAAAGAGCCATCAGACCACCACAGATGAGGCCTAATAGGGCTGATGCCGTTACGGAGCCGCGGAGGACTTAACTGGTTGCCGGGGCTCCGGCTCGAAGTGCAGGAGTAGGAACGGGGTGGTTTTTAGTCAGTAAGAGTCTGACAACCTCCCGGCCTCGCCCGGGCGGGACGCGTCATTTAATGATTTTCCCCCTAAAAAAAGACGTTTTATTGCTGATACGAACATTCTATTAGTCTCAAGTCGTCCACTTGTTCACACAAATGCTGATAGCGAATTGCTGCAAACCGGTCAATCTGGAAGTTTTGGGGAAGGCAGAGGCATTTTTTTTTAAGGGGGGAAAATCATCGAATGACTGCTCCCGCCTGGGTGAGGCGGGAGGGAGTGTCAGACTCTTACTGACTAAAATCCACCTCGTTCCTTCTCCTGCACGTCGAGCCGGAGCCCCGGTTACCCGTTAGGTTCTCCGCGACAAGGCAGAGGCATAATAAGTGTCGTCGAAGTCTACCAGATTGGCCGGTTCGAACTTCGAAGGGACTTGCATCCAGCGGCTTAGCGGATCTTTATCAGATCTCAGAAGAGGTTCTGCGCAATAAAGCACCAAAATAGTTTGATACTTAGGTACCTAACATGGAGGGTAGTGGGAGAAGCGACCATTTTGTAGAAAATTGTACTTTGTACCGCGTCCACTGACACGGTCTAATGATGATGATGATGATGATGATGTTACAAAATCATTTTAATTAATTCACAGGAAAACGACAGCGAGGAATCAGGAAACATAACCAAAGGTAACAATTCACCGATAATAATGCCATGGATAGACGCAGCCAATCTTGGTGATAAACAAGATGAGGATACGGACACGTCAGGAGAATCTAATTCAGATGAATATCCCGATTCAGGCGAAAGTGATACCGACAGCGAATCGAATTTTTATCATGAAGACGACCATATTAATGACGCAATAAGTACAATTGATTTAGCAGAGCTCAAACATTTGAAAGATAAATCCGAACTTTTACGAAAGAGATGGAAATCTTGTCGTAAGACAGCTGCTAAAGTATGCAAGCAAGCGTGCAATATATCTTACAAAAACGCTTGTAGTGAATTTGATTGTGAAAAAAAATTAAAGAGGGCAATGAAGAAAGAATGCAAGAGAAATTGCAAGGATATGTTTATGTAATTTACTGCAGGGTTGGTGCAGTGGCTGAGCAACCGGCTGCCGTGCAACGTGTCGGTTGGATTCCCGCACGGAACAACACTTTGTGTGATCCACAAATTGTTGTTTCGGGCTGGGTGTCATTGTATACGTGAACTTGTATGTCTGTAAACGCAGCCACGACACAGGAGAAAATCCTAGTGTGGGGCAACGTTTTTTAACAAAAAACCAATATTTGTTTAATATTAAAAGTTTTTATTGTATTAGATATGGCCATTATTGGCTATCGTGAGACATATTACATTGATAGGTATATTGGAATATGGCTTACTCGTGTAACTGTTCAAAAAAGGCCACTCGATTAGTTTTAAACCATATATCCCCAAGCGCTCACCGGTGACCGTTCTCCGCTAACTACATTATAGACCTTATTTCCAATGCTAGGGACCTATCTTCAGCAGCAAGCCCTACAATAGAAACGACGATTTATTTGTTCATCAAACGGCGCTAATCAATCAAGAACTATTTTTTTCCAATGACTACAGAGCTACCTGTCAAAAATTTAACATTTAATTAGTGATGACTCTAGTTAATTCCCTATTGGACGAAGAACGAGATACTACACTAGCGCCATCTAGTTGGCATAAATACAGTTTTGTTAACACATTGAATGTTTGTGTGATTAGTAATCTGCGTAGGAAGATTCTTGTATTAAAACTTTCGTGAGACATACTAAATAAATTATTATGTTTTCGGCTTACTCACGTAACTGTTTGACGAGGAACTCGACTAGTTTCAAGCCATGCTGGAGGCTCATATTCATGAGCAGTATTCCGCGACCCGCAACGCGGCGACCATTGCGCTGCTACTGACCAGTATGTGTAATTGACCAGTAGCAGCGCGACAGTCGCCGTGTCATAAGATTCTGAATTATGTTTAATTAGACTTACTTATATAGGTCTGATAGGTACGTACTAAAAGATAAGATGGTTTTTTTTAGTGTTACGCCACTAGCATTTTCTGTGTCATGGGTGCATTTACAAACATACTAGTTCACATACACATCTGACATCACACCCAGACCCAGAACAACAATTTGTGGATCACACAAACGCGGGAATCGAACCCGCGACTCGTTGCATCTTGCATCATCTCGTCGCCCAGCCACTGCAACAACTGTGCCGTTAAATGATTTGTTCTATATATTGCATTTTTTCAACTTTGTTACAAAACGATAAGGTGGAAATGAAAATCTATACACGAGTTAGCTAAAATAGCTAATATGAACTATGAAGTTAAAATCATTTTGTTATGAATACGTTTGGGTGCTCGGCCATCGTATCGCATTTATACTCACCACGTGACGCTAGTATGAACCTCTCGTTTTTCGTCCAATAGGGAAATAGCTAGTACCAAACTATTGGACGATCAACATTTGACAGCTACAGTGATTGGACAAAATATATTATGCTACATTTGTGCCATCTGGCGACCGATGACGAAATAAAACGATGTAAAACATTTTATTCGCATTTATTTTATAATACATCGATAAAATACAATATTTATAACTGTGATATAATAACATGTTACACTGTAATTGTTCCAAGATCATTACTTATCGACTCTAACCAACTTTAACAATTAAAATGTTAATAAATAATTATACAATGGCTAATTTACTAAGTGGTCGACTTATAATCCGCTCATACACTAAAAAGTTAGAATTTTAGCAGAGTTTCACCTGCTATGAAGAAATGAGTTTTTATTTCATGTTCACGCTAACATAGACAAGTTTATGACACTATACTCTTTTAATATTCTCGTCACAAGATCTTGTCTATGGTTTCACAATGCGAACTTTTTTTAGAGTTGTTAATACATACATAATGACGTACAATGTATTTTTAAGTTTCTAAGCGACTTTTTAAACCAACCATTACGTAAAATAGCCATGAAAACTAAACTAGAACTTACCGAAGTAAATGGCCCAGAAATCTTTGTTTCTGCAATAACCGCTGCGAACGTAATTAAGTACTTATGTAATAATAAACTTATTATTTAATATTGGTAATACTCTCGGACGGAATGTCAATTGGTAATACATAATTATTTTAAATTATACAATAATTATACAATCTCATGATTATTTCATTTCGTTTTTGTTTATTTATATTATAATAAATTGTGACATAACATAAAAATGATATATTTAATTCAATATTAACACTTATTTTCACAACCTATAAATCTGTCAAAAGGTAAATACACAAAGATATTCTTTTTTTTATATAAATTGATTTAATACAAGGCACTTTTGGAATAAAGATTCGATAAAAGAAAATCTAAAGTACCTAATATAAATTTTAAAATTAATCTTGGTGTTTGTGGCACTTTTATAAGACACTTTGAAAGAGTAGTCTAACCTTAACATATATCATTTTAATATATTTATTTTTATTGTAAACTTATCTATATCAGGATTTTATACAATTTGTATTCAAATTACTACCTCAGTGTAGCATAAAAACACATTGTCACATTATATAATGTGATCCTTATGTATATGGTTTTAAAGATCATTACAAAAATTAGATACGTTTATTCGGCGAAGCTGATATTTTAACCTAAATCGGAGTTTATGATTCTTAATTTGTTTCATACAAATCGTCTCATAACTCTTCTATCGGTGTCCGTCTTTACAAGCCGATTTGACATCTCCATTTTAAATTTTGAATCGAAATTGATGTTGCCAGTAACAGTAATATTTGACCAATGATCATCTGTCTTTTCGCTGAAATAGGGCAGCGATCAAACAATTCGAAACGAATACTGATTCGATCGTAAATTGTAATCTTTAAAACTATTATCTTGACATTTATATTTTACAGTTTCCCGCCACTGGGACTCCTAGAGCTGCTCTTTATTATCGACGTCACAGAAATGTTGCCAGAACTACTGAACTGAGGGGGCGGTGAACGAGGCAAAGAAAACTTTGTATCGGTCAAATTCTCCTGACTCAGTGACTTCTGCGTTGTAAACACCGGTATTTTGGACGAAACGCCTGGAGATACTTTCGTTTTCTCCGCTTTTACCGGTATGTTGCTTGGTTTCGCGGAAATTTGCGGTTTTTGTTGTTCAGGTGACCGTAACTGTAGCTGGTCTAGTTGTGACAGTCTCCGGTTTTCAAGATCTGTGCTCGTGACTATAGTGCCCTTAGGAGATTCGTATGTGGCTGTGCGGAATTTAATATGACTGTTTCTTGGTAAGTCGAAGTCCGAATGTCGTTTCTTTGGTTCGTTCGATTGGTTTATTTTCGCTCGTTTTTGTTCGTCAGCTAGTTGCTTAGCTGAGACGTGCTTTTCGTTGAGAATGAAGTCATTCAGCAGTTCAATGTCTAATTCGTAGGATAGCGGGGGTTCTTCGTAAGGCGGTGCTCTTTGTCTGCTAGAAATTTTATCCTTACTTTCCTTCTGTTTTTGCATTTGTTCCGTACGTGGTGTGACTACTTGTATTTCTGTGATGTGATCCTTCTGGCTGTCTATCTCTTTGCAATCTTTTTGTACGTCTGTTATCGATGGGTTTATAGAGTATCTTGTTTTGGTGACCTCTACAGAGTCTGCTGTGGATGTCTGCACATCTTCAAGGTCTTGTATAATTCTAATTCCCATACGTGATAACTCTTCAGGTGACTTTTGAGACATGAAACTCGGATCATTTTTAAGTTTTTCCATCAAGGCTTGTGCTTGTTCTTCATTCATTTCTGTTGTGTTTAGGATTATTGTCTCTGTTCTTGTGTAAGCTGGTTCGTCTGTGGTGAAGTGCATGTTAGGATTTTGTCTCTTGATTTCGTCTAAGACTCTTTTATCAATATCTTTGACATCTCCTTCTTCTAGCTGCATTTCATTTATCTCTCCTCCTCTCATGATACCAAAACTAATCTGTTCTACTTGTAAAGGTGCTTCAGTTTTAGTTGTAATGTACTTTGTGGATATTTTCTCAACGTTCTGTGTAATAACTTTGTTGCCAAACTCATCTTCATTAACATTAACAGTTACGGTTTTCTGAACAGGTTCTTGGGTCATCGTTAAGGAGACGCTAGCTGGTTCCATATATAAGGTCCTCTCCCTCTCATCGTGTCTTCGTCGAATACCTTCCAGAACATCAGGCGGCATCATACGTATAGTAGGCTCACCTATCTCGATAGACTTTGTGTGGTCGCGATACGATTTACGTTTTTCTTCAACGGGTTGAGATTTCTCTGTGGTAATAGTAACGACATTGGTGTTTATATCTTTGGGTTCCGTCCAATCTGAGGAGAAAGTCTCAAGCTTCTTACTGTAATTCAGACTGTTATTGTTCGATCCAATCCTAATGTTACTAACGAAGTCATCATAATCCCTGGCTTTCTCTGTTTGTGATGTTTTCAAGTCAAAGTTCACGATGTCAGGTTGGTGCATTGCGGATTTGAATGCGTCTGTCTGCGGTGTTTCCTTACTTGTGCTGGCTTCATGCTTCTCTTTCTCAGAACTTTGGTCAATGTGTACGTTCAGTATCGGGTTTTTGGCGAGCAGTTTCTTCATCATATCGGATTTCGGTCTCTCCAAGCTATTCGCATAAGAATTACGTGACATTTTCAAATCATCAGGTACATTAGTGTCATATGTCATTGTCAGTTTCTCTTCATATTTAGCTGGTACTGATTTAGCTTCTGTGACGACTGGTACGACTTCTTGCGTACTATCTAAAGAGCTCATGTTGCTTCCATCTGAAGTAGACTTTGCGAATTCTGACACCAGTTTAAGATGAACTTTCATATTTTCATCCATTATTCTTCTTGCAAGGTGATCAGACGTTTCATGCTCACTCTCTTTATAAAGCTCAAAATCTTTGGGCTTAGTAAAGCTAGATTCCTCATTTTTATCAGACTCTACTGAACTAGAAGATCCCTTGACTATAGCGTCTTCTAAGTTACCAAATTCCGAACCTTTCTTCAGGCGATTTCTTTGGAAAGTGTTGAGTCCTTCCATTGCCGATGTTTTAGCAATATTGAGGCTCAATCGAGGTTCCTTGTGTTTGATGATAACACCTTTGTCTGAATCAATCATATCTGGTAGAACATCTTCATTTCCTGAATCAAAGAATGTAGTTTCGACTACCGACATAGCTTTTCTCTTTTTGGGTGATATAGCACTTTCAGGATTTTCGGCGTCCTCAGCTGAGATGTCTAGACTTTGAGCTCTTTCTAAAGTACCTGTGGAAGGCTTGCTAGTTTTGGCTCTTAGTTCAAATCTAGACAAATCACCAAGTGAAGCAGCTTTGCGTTCGTTTTCGTCTAAGATGGATGTATCATCTGATACAGAATGCACTGTATCGTTGATTGGTGAACTGTGGATAGTAATGTCACTGTTGTTGAGCTCTATTGTTGTTGAGCCTTTGTCACTCTTGTCACTATGGTTCAATGACCTTATCGAATGAACATCTTGGTTTGAAGACATGTTAGACTTCGAATCTTCAAAGAAGTTGTTGAGGGAATCACTTTCACGCCTGAAAGGTTTAGTGACAATATCGTAAATGTCATCTTGACTGAAATTGATAGACTCTTCTAGACGGGTAGACGTGTGGCTCTTGGTTTTGTTCACCTTTGGTGTTGAGGTATTGATTTGTGACGCGTTGGAAGACCTGGTTGATACAAGGGAGTCGTGTAACAGACTCGAATGTTGCTTCTCATTGCTCAAGAAATCGTTCACATTTTTTAATTGCTCCAGAATGCTGTCGTCAGTTTTGTTTTTCTCATGGTCTGGAGGGGAAGGAGCTTTGCCTTTGGATTTCTTCGGTTTCGGCGCTTCTTCCTTCTTATGTTCCACCTTTTCTTTCTCATAAATTAATTCAGTGGAACTCTTTCTGTTAGTCCTAGCTGCTTTAGCCGCATCTATCATGTGCTGTGGTAACTCTTGAGGTATTCCGTTCTCGTCTCTTCTGATTCCACTAGAGTTGAGGTCGTTTCTAGCGAAAGTCGTTACTGCAGAAGCCTCTGATGTTCTGGAAGTTTCTAGACTAGTGATAGTTGTATCAGATTCATTAGTCTTGTTCCTAGCATTGGGTATGGGAGGAGCCATTTTTTCTCTGCGTTTAGCGACAACAGGTTTCTTCTGTTCCGTTTCGTTCTCATGTTTGATTTGTGTCGTTGGTGCGGGACGCTGAGGTTCTGGTTTGTCAATCTCGTCAACGGATTTCTTCTCAACAGCGACACTTCCATTCTCTACTCCTTTGTGTTTAAGTACTCCATCATCAGGTACATTAGGAGGTAGGACTCTTATACCGAATTTCATGGCTCTTTTAGGATCATATTCTCTTTTCTGTACTTCCGATTGTTCTATGTGAGTCATGGAGGTAATACCATTCTCAGGTTGGATTATTTGAATGTCGGAGTCGGTGGAATGTCTATTTTTGTTTCTCTCAGGTTTGTTGACAGCTGGTGGGATGTCAGATAGTCTAGATTTGTTAGCGAGCTTACTGTTCTTTTCGTTCTCCCGTTCTAGAGTAGTGTGTCCCTCTTTCTTCTCCTTCTTGTTTCTCTCTAGTGTTGTAGATGTAATGATCTTGTCTGATATCATCTTCTTGATGCCGCTCTTCGACTGTTTCGTTTCTAGAGTTGAGTTGTTCGAATTTGATGTGTTTGGTGACCTTGGCGGGTGCAGGAGTTTTCCTTCCTTTTCAAGCTGAAACAAAAAGATAAATTATGTTATAGCATTTAAAGTAGTATGGTGACAATTAGAACATAGAATACATTTGATGCCACCCATATTCGTCCTAAATTTAAAGCTTCTAAACTGCGACTCGATGCGCCTGCGTGAAGATCATGGCAAACACTTTTAGAAAATACTCATTGTCTAACAGGACACTATGACGCTGTTGTTGATAATGATAAAACTAACCTACAGTACCATTATAAAATTATAATTCAACCAGCTACTACCGCGTATTTTTACCCGCTCTACTCGGCTCCTATTCATCGTAGCGTGATGTTTTACCACCCCGTTCCTACTCCTGCACTTCGATCCGGAGCCCCGGCAACCTGTTAAGTCCTCCGCGGCTCCGTATATGTTTTATAGCCTATAGCCTCGATAAATGCACTATCAAAAAGAATAATTCAAATCGGACCAGTAGTTTCGGAGATTTTTTTAAGGGAGGAAAATCATCGAATGACTGCTCCTGCCAGGGTGAGGCGGGATGGAGTGTCAGACTTTTACTGAATAAAAACCACCCCGTTCCTTCTCCTGCACGTCGAGCCAGAGCCCCGGTTACCCGTTAGGTTCTCCGCGACAGTAGTTACTGAGATTAGCGCTTTTGGACTAACAAACTGTTCAACTTTATATAATAAGTACCTACATAAGATAAAGTAAATAATCGATTATTGATATTATGAAACAAAATCATTCTCACGGCGTATTGAATCACTGCGCTATAATTATTATTTATAGTAAGATCGATGAACAGGTGAAATAAACATGATTTCACGTAGTAAAAGATGTTTGTCAACATTTATCAGTTGGTTGTTATGTGAATGCAGAGGAAATAGCAAGCATGCTTTGAAACTACATACATACATAAGAATTATGTATGTATCACCATTTCCTTTATGTAAATTAGTTTGACATTCCTGGTACAAAGATTGCATAATAAAATTATTAACAGAATTTTTGGATCATTTTTAGACATAGACAACAATGTGTGTCTATGCAACATAACATCACGCCTTTTATCCCTGAAGGCGTAGGCAACGGTGCACATTACGGCACTTAATGCCATTGTACAATGTAACACCCACTTTTCACATTTTTCTAGTGTCTATTTGTCCTTACAAATTCTTCGATTTTTAAACCGATTTCAATTGAGTTCTTGCCAACTAGTCAAATATTCAAATTTTTTTTTTCGAACTGTCAAAAATGACAGTTTTCTATGAATTTTGCACGAGATTGTGTTTTGTGACGTCACGTTTTTTAGCGTCGAACAGCGTACATATTTCTTATAAATTCGGTGAATTAATTCTAAAATTAAATTGTTCATAAAATCTATAAATGAAAGTGTGATTATTTTTTTAATATTTCATTGTAGTGAACAGTCGAAATCAGTTATTTTTGATTAAGGAAAGTATTTTAAACCTTTTTATTATTGTAAAACGGTCAGCATTAGGCCACTATCTCGTCTAGTGGTAAGCGATGATGGATCTATGTCCATAACTACACTCGGGAGCACAAAAACTGAGCCACTAGCGTTTTTTCTCTTTCATCTATATAAACAAAACTGTAATATATGTATTTCCGTTCGTTAATCTCGCTAAAACTCGAGAAGGGCTGAACCGAATTGGCTAATTTTGGTCTTAAATTGTTCGTGGGAATCCAGGGAAGGTTTAAAAGGTCACGATTTTTTTTTAAGGCAGTACTAAGTTTGTCGAGTCAGCTAGTTTCTTGGTATAATATATTTTCTGATACAAGTATTTTATTAATTAATAACGTATGTCGTATAAAAGGTAATTTAGTTACCTTTAAAATGACAGATAAATCGTAAAACATGCCAGTGGCTCTATGTTTTTTTTTGCCTCCAAGTGTATAATCGCAGCCGCGAAAGGCTTAACGGGCTGCCGGGGCTCCGGCTCGAAGTGCAGGAGTAGGAGGGGGGGAGGTTTACTCAGTAAAAGTCTGACACTCCCTCTTGCCTCACCCGGGCAAGAGAAGTCATTGGATGATTGGATGAAGTGTAGAATCGCAAGCATTAACTCATTCACCATCCAAATTGGCCCATGATTACACATAATCCCAACCCAGAAACGTACACAGCGCAGTGTCAGTGTATCGACTATTGTTTAACTAACAAAAACAATAGACATCCACCACATTCCATAGACTACGTGGCTTGTATTCAAAACATACATTGTTATTTTGGAAAACATTATAGACGACAATGCGGTCAAACGATAAACTTCCTTAAAATGTACTTGTTAACGTTTAATTTGCATTGTTTGTTTACATTAACTTAGTTTTCTTGTTCAAGGTAAAATAATAATAATATTTGACTGTCAGAGAATTTGAAAATCTTACCTAGTTATTAGGTCTAAACGTAAGAAATTGCCGATAAATTTAACTACCTAATTCACGGGTAAAATGAGTTTAGGTAAAGAACTAAAGACCATTTTTGGGATACGAATCACTTAATGGGAAACTTAAGCAATCATCGCCGCTTATAGACACCCACAACACCAGAGGAATCACAGGTACATTGTCGGACTTATTGGATCACGCCTATCTCCCATGAACCAGACAGAGACTATAGAACGATAAGAGCTAAGATTCTTAATACGTCTTTCGCTTGAATAACAGTCATCAGTCTTTTCATGCATGCTCGTCGGTTAAGGGTGGGACTACATCCTAGGATATTATGATTAACAGATCCGTTTTATCACCAAACCAACATTCCATTTAAACACAACTTGAAACTCATTATTTTTCTTTTTTGCACGACTGGTCAAGTCAAATATTTTGCATGCTTACATAATGATAAATCTGCATACGTACTCAAATATTCGACATGTTTAATTCATGATTTGTTAAAAGAAATGTCTATAGTGTACTATTAATGTGGTTTTATTGCCTTTGGCTGGCGTTTTATTGGTTATTAGCGCTATTATTAGTTCCTTGTGTACGTACAAAATGCTTTGTATTATATTATAATTATGACTTACTAAAATGTGAAAGTTTGTGAGTCTGTGTCTGTGTGTGTATGTTTGTAACTCAATAACATCAAAACGGCTGAAGGAATCAGGATTAAATTTGGAATGAGGTCTCCAAATCCTAATCTGTATCTTATATTTTAATTACATTTCCTGTTTCAGGTCTACTGGAAGAAATTCTAACAGGAATAAGTAGCACCTTTGTACTCTTATTTTATGTATATGTGCTGTTTGTGTGTACATAAATTATTAAATAAATAAATAAAATAAGTAAGGGTAGATTATATTCGGGATAATCTACCCTTACATAGGCTACTATACCCTATGGGAACGCGAGACGCGTCATTTTGATGAATCAGCTATTTTGAGCTAGTTTTGTTATATTTGCTGTAATTCCCTAACACTGGGTTTATTTACTTCATGCTGATATTACAAAAAGAACCGCGGGTAAAATACACCCAGCTCCGATACAACTCAGATTGGAAGGTACTGTGGCAAAGCGCATTAGATTCTGTCCCGAGGTTTTCTATTTATTAACATACTATGTTTATTGACTTTTCGCGCGTAATGTCAAAGTTATGCAATGAAACCTCTTTTATATTCAGTGTTGCCATAATGACAAAGACAGGAAATATTTTTGAAGTTATTAATTTTATAGTCTGTGCACGTCTCCGATAAAAAGTCTATTCGAACTTATTGTTATTCAACTGTATTTTTTAATCTATAATAGGGAAGTTAACTAATTTGTTTATCTTGCATACTTATAAAAAGTGTGAAAGTCTTATTTTTTACGAAATCAAGAACGTTTGACTTTATGTAAATTTAAAATTTGATCACCACGATTGACTTGCAGGTTAAAACGTTCAGGTTTATCAGAGAGTATTGCTGTTCGATCTGCGTCAAATTTGTAGTCCCTAGGAGAAGGAACGGGGTGGTTTTTAGTCAGTAAGAGTCTGACATTCCTCCCGCCGCACCCATGCGAAGTTACTCGATGATTTGACCCGCTTAAAAAAAAAGTCTCTCACAATACGACATTTAATATTATTATCCAACGAACTAAATAAGATGCTTTATAACACGTAATATTAAATCATCAACAGAACTTTCACCTCCAAAAGAACTGAAGTTAAAATATAATAATATCCGTGTTTTAACACTTTTTATAATAAACAAAACAAAATTATATAAATCGTAATTAAACAATAGTGCATGAAAGAAAATCAATCGAGCGCGGCAAAGAAAGTCTCTTGTTAAAGAAAATTTATGGGAGCCGTGGGAAAGTACGGTGCTAGGAAAGTTCCAAGCCGTGATGTAGTAGCTCTTAATGCCGGCGCTTTCCACTACACCTGTCGATCGCATTGCAAATACAGTGACAGAAAGCCAGCACAATTATCTAGGTTAGTTGTTGTATGTAATCAATGGTATTTAGATATATATATACTATGGATTGTATACATGTGCATTGATGAGATCTGGGAGATACGCTAAGTAATTTTTGCTAGTTACGCTATTATTATTGTATTTGTAGGTATCTGCAGCTGTATCCAAATGCCATTTAGCGCTTGTCTACATGTAGAATAGAAAACCAAATTATATGGAATTGACGTCAATGACACTTGTCATGACATTTTGATTTCTACTCTCTCTGTAGACAAGCGCTAAGTGGCGTTAGGCTAAAGGCCCAGGATTGAATGGGGCCGTCGATAGAGGGCGCCCTAGACAGACATATACTGACCAGATTGGCGATATATTAAAGAAGGGCCAAATTAAAAATACCCTGAACCGACGAGATAAAATATTAATGACTGTTGATAAAGCGAAAGAGGTATGTAGGAATCGTAGTAGTTAGCGTTCTATAGTCTTTGCCTACCCCCATGGGAGACAGGTGTGAATGTATATTGTAGGGTTACCACGTTATCAAGCAAGGGACAGTGTGTAACTAAAAATTATTTTTAGTTTTTTACAAGGTAGGTACTGTTTCTCACGAGTGGAAGAGCCATGCTTCGGCACGAACGGGCCAACTCACAGTAAACTGGCGTGAAATAACGCTGGGTTTCGCCGTGTAAGGCAGGTTAATAAAGTGTTAACCCCCTCCCCCCCGTTCCTAATCCCCAAACCCAAAAAGCAACAAACTTGTAAGTGTTTTTTTGTTAATAAAACGTTGCCTACACTAGGATTCGCCTGTGTCGTGGGTGCGTTTACAAACATACAAGTTCACATACACATGACACACAGACCTGGAACAACAATCTGTGGATCACACAAAGAATTGTTCCGCGCGGTAATCGAACCCGCGACACGTTGCGCGGCAGCCTGTTGCCCAGCCACCAAGCCAACCGTGCAGTCTATTTCTGATGTTCCTTTTTTATATTTATTAGGTTGACGTTTAGCCACCATCCCATTATTTTGCTTACCATCAGGTAAATCTGTCTGCTCGACAATATCATCAACTCACCGTGCTAACATCGCCCATGGACCCTGCTCTCTTCAGCAGCGGATGATGGACCGCCCTCCCCGTGCCGCTGGACCGCCCGCCCTCAACCACCTCCAGTTCCACAGGGTATGGAGACGCCAGAGACAGGATAGATACAGCGTCCTCTAGCGGCGTGCCCGTGAACTCGATCTTTATGCTCTTGATTTTGTCTCCTGGAATTTTAAGATGGAAATTCATTAGTACATAGAAGATTGACTTTTAGAGTACAAGTTTTGAAGATCCCATTAATTATCCCCCCCAAGCGGTCACCGGTGACCGCTCCCCACTAACTACATTATAGACCTTATTACCGATGTTTAGAGACTACTTTTGTATGAACAAATTTAGGGGATGATATTATACCTATATGTATAGTTATATCTAATCTAGTATGTATTGCAAAACCTCATGGAATAAGCGAAAGGTCACGATGCAAATTTTTCATTATTTTTATTTTTCAGCATTAATACATTTTGTATGAAACTTATAAATGTCACAATTGTACCTCTGGTGAGGAAATCTACACATAAAAAAGTTACTGCGGCCGTGCGTAAATGTCCTTGGACATTTAAAGTTATTTCGTAAACCAAATAGTAAAACAACAAGTGTAGGAGAGCCATGCTTCGGCACGAATAGGCCGGCTCGACGGGAGTAATACCACGGCCTCACAGAAAACCGACGTGAAACAGAGCTTGCGTTGTGTTTCGTCGTGTGGTGTAAGTGAGGTTACCAGAGGCCCAATTGCCCCCCCCCCTCTCCAATCTCTGAATCCCCAACAATATTCAAATTCCTAATCCCCAAAAGGCCGTCGACGCACTTGTAACGCCTCTGGTGTTCCGAGTTTCCACGGGCGACGCCGAACCCGTACGCTCGTTTACCGACTTATCCCATAAAAAAACACATCTAGTTATAATATTTTAAACTCAAACACAGTCTCACTTTTTGAAATCACGTAGCTTTAAATCAGTTAAAAAGATTTTCAACGGTGCACAACGCATTCTCACTTTTACCGGAATGCAATAAGGATTAAAATACGAACCTTTATCCATAACACAACTAAAAAAGTAATAACGCAAGTGAAAGACAATATAGAAGCACTTTATAACATTGACCATGTACTTGAGACCGAGGAGGTAAAACAACTGAATAACGCGCCATACTCCTTAAAATCTGGCACGAAGCCAGACATACTCGAATGATTAGTAGGTACTATTTATGAAATCTAGATTTAGTACGAATGATTGAAAGCTGTTGTAACTGGGTAAACACTGATAATTGTTTTTTTTTAGTCGTATCTCATTAGATAATGCGAGATGCAATTTTGGGCAACTGTGTTATGTACGACTGCCTCGTTGACCGAGTAGTCGCAAGTGGGACTGCCGGGCAAGGTCTCAAGGGACTCGATTCCCGGGTCGGGCAAAATATAATTTTGGTTTTTAATAAAAATTCTCAGTTGTAGCACGGAGACTGGAATTGTGCCCGGTATATGGCAATAGGTTCACCCCCTATTGCATGGGACTCATAACATAAATAGTGAAATGTGGGTGTTACATTGTATAGTGGCATTAAGTGCCGTGTACACCTCTGCTCTACTTTCGAGGATAAAAGTCGTGATGTTATGTTGTTATGTTATATACGAGACGCATATGAGATAAAGATTAGTCAATAGTCGTACATACACTGTATTTTTTATATCATAAATCTCGTCAGACATTAAATTCAATATACATTACGTTACTATGAGCCCCTAGCGTGGTTTGAAACTAGTCGAGATACCTCGTCAAACAGTTACGTGAGTTAGCTGTAATACATAAATAGTACACTATAGGTATCTATCATTAAATATCAATGATGTAATATATTCCATCTTTAGGAATTAAACCTGCAAAGCATAATGCATTCAGTCAATCAACTACTGCACTACAAACAACAAAAAGGTGACACATTGGCATTATAAAAAAAGTATTTTGTCTATGGAAGTCGTCAGTGTCTACCAACCTAACAAATGTCAAAGTTAATGGTAGTCTGTGACATTAGGGGAAGGTTCGTCACCTCCCTAGTAAATGTCCAAAATAATTGCTTTTTTATGTAAGTTTCGGTTGTGACAAACATAACGGCCATTGGGCCTAGGTCATTGGAAGAGGCCTATGTTCAGCAGTGTTTTTTTTAAACCGTGCCCCACTCTATGATTTTCTCCTGTGTCGTGGGTACGTTTACAAACATACAAGTTCACATACACAATGACACCCAGACCCGAAACAACAATTTGTGGATCACACAAAGTGTTGTTCCGTGCGGGAATCAACCCGCGACACGTTGCGCGGCAGCCAGTTGACCAGCCACCGCACAAACCGTACAGTCTTGAAGGTCTTCTGGCTGATATGATGAATAATCAACTCCAATCACAAGCATATTTAAGGTTCAAAATACTTTACCTTATGCCTGTCAGTTTTATTGACAAGGTAAGGATGATATAACAAAGCGCACAATACATTACCTGGTTGTAACTTGGCGGCGGCCGCTGGTCCGCTTCTCAGCACGGAATGGACATGCACTCCATCCCTCGCACCGCCTCCACATCGGAAACCTAAACCAGTGAAATCTCGGGCCCATAGCTTCACACGACGAATACGAGCTCGCTGTGGACAAGGAACGGAGAATTAGACTTTAAAATCTAGGCACTAAGATACATTCATTTCTTAACTCTTTCCGCAGGCGTTGTACTTATAAGAATCAGCCAAGGGACAACACATTTGACTGAGATTCGCCAGCAGAGCTCTCAAATAAACCGAAACTTTTCAAACTTAAGTGTAGGAGAGCCATGCTTCGGCACGAATGAACCGGCTCGAGCAGAATGATACCACGGCCTCACAGAAAACCGAAGTGAAGCAACGCTTGCGTTGTATTTCGTTATGTGAGTGAGGTTACCGGAGGCCCAATTACTCCCCCCCCCCCCTTCTCTTCCCCAATAATCCTCAAACTCCTAATCCGAAAAGGCCGGTAAGGCACTTGTAACGCCTCTGGTGTTCTAGGAGTCCATGGGCAACGCCGATTGTCAACCATACCCCGTGATCAGGTCCCGAGGTCTTAAACTCGCCTACCAAGCGATGACATTATGGCAAACCTCTCTCATGTATAAGAAACCCATAATGCAGCAGTCGACTGCCCACCATCAGATGATGCGACGCGACACCAGGATTTTTTTTTTTTTTTTTTTTTTTTAAGGGGGGAAAATCATCGAATGACTGCCCCCGCCTGGGTGAGGCGGGAGGGAGTGTCAGACTCTTACTGACTAAAAACCACCCCGTTCCTTCTCCTGCACGTCGAGCCGGAGCCCCGGTTACCCGTTAGGTTCTCCGCGACTCCGAATCGGCATCGGCCCTATTGGGCCCCATCTGTGGTGGTCTGATGGCTCTTTGAGGCGCGCGCGGAACGCGACGCGCCGTACGCTCGGGTCTGTTTCTGGTCGGACGGGGAGCCACCCATGCTCGCCGTCCGCAGGCCCGCGCTTACGGTGGCCGGAGATCGTCCCGCGATCCCCGACGCCCGGTGTGTCCTTCGCGATGGCTGGGTTGCGAGGAGGCAGCGCTTCGCTGCCTCACGCGTCCCGCCTCCTCCTTAGCTAGCATGACTGCTTCGCAAAAGGAGGAGACGGCATCCCACTCCCCCTCGCTCCGCATCATGGCCTGCACTAGGCCCGGACGCGAGAGGTCGCCATCGCCGGCGACACCAGGATAAACTGGTTTTGTATACATTGATGTGTGGCCGTGTGTACATGGCAAGCCTCAACCCTGGGCAACACATAAGTACCCTATGACATAAATACCACCGCAGTTTTTTATACCAGTCCCTATTCAGTGCAGAAATATTACAGCTATCCTTCGAAGGCATATCAATGCTCGATTCAATGCAAATGTTATAGTCTTGTACACTTATGTGCTTCGTACAGTGCATTCATAAAAACTTGTTAAGCATCAATTCATAATGGTTAGAATTCATATGGGATAGGGCAAACAAACAGGATCACCTGATGGTAAGCGATCAGCACCGTTCATAAACACCCGCAACACAAGAGGAGTTACAAAATCTTTGCCGGTGCCTTATGAGACATGATGAGACTTCTATCAGTCACTTTCGATATCGACATGAAATAAATAAGATAGCTATGGAATTGTAGAAGATGCATTTAGAAACACTGTTCCAAAAAGGGTAAATTAATTTCCGTGAAAAGTTGGTCAGGGAGTATGAAAATTGAATATCTTCATTCCAAGTTATACTACTTTTTAAAAATAAGACAACCAACCTAAATAAAGCGGATCCTATCTAATTCGAATTTTATGTGATTGTATCACATAATAAATTCGTAGATTCTTAAGGGACCGACCAAGGTTACAATGCTATTGTAATTTAGCCAAGCAAAGTTATAGTAGATTTTTATCTTATATTTTACAAAAAATGTTTAAGACAATTATTGATGATTTAACCCGCCATGATTACTTGACGGTCAAGTCAACGTTGACGTCATGTTAGGGTGACATCATCAGGCAAGAAGCTGTGCTGTGCATCCGTTTGGTGTTGCCATTATCCTAACAGGTAAAATGTTTATATTATCCTCCTGACTGCCTTTAGTCGATTGGTAGACATGTACTTCTGTTATTTTTTCTATGAAGTTATCCTAATCGTATTTCTGTAAGCAAGCTATGTTTTAGCGACCAACTAATTATTTTTTTTTGTTAAATAATGTTGCCCCACAATAGGATTCTCTCCTGTGTCGTGGGTGCGTTTACAAACATACAAGTTCACATACACAATGACACCCAGACCTGAAACAACAATTTGTGGATCACACAAAGAGCTGCTCCGTGCCGAACCCGTTACATGTAGAACGGCAGCCAATAGCCCAGCCACCGCGCCAACCGTGCAGTCAAAATTAAACAACCATAGATAAAGTCGATAGTATAGAAGTTAAAAAATCGGCGTCAACTATTTTTCAAAAGAGATTTATGTTACGTAATACATTAACTAAAATCGCGGGTTACTCACGTGAATAAACTGAGAAAAGCTCTACTAGTTTCGAACTACAGAGGGGTTCTAAGTAGCAACACCGAGGCGAGCGCCAACGCCAGCCTGCGCGACGTCGCCGCGACCGCGCACGCTGCTCATGAGGAAGAACCCCTCCTTGGTTCGAAACTAGTAGAGCTTTTCTCAGTATATTCACGTGAGTAACCCGTGATTTTAGTTAATTTAGTATGTCTCACGATAGTTATTATAAAAAAGTAATACATTTTTTGTAAGCATAACAAACTATATTAAATAGTAAAACGAACGTGATTTAACGCTTGACACTTTAGATACCACAATTGAAAGATACCTCACACATTACTATCAATGTTATCAACACTTCAAACAATACATACTTGTAATTATCATCTATTTATACTTTACTTGGCTGACATACTCTTGCTATAATAATATAAGTATTTATTATCAACTACTAATAATACACGTACTTTATTTATTCTAGTAATGAATGGTTAAAATAGTCGTTTCTATTTTTTAAAGAGTCTATGTCGCACTGCCCAGTTCCCAAGCAATCATCGGTGACCACTCTCCATTTACTCCATTATAGACCTTATTTCCGATGTTCAGAGAGACTACTTTTGTATAAAGTATGTTGTGGACTGTTCGTAGTCGTGGATTAAAAGACAGGAAGACGACTATACTTACCAGTTATTATTCTATACCACCTGTTAATTGTAATTAAAATAAACTCGTACTTGACTATTGTCGTGGCAATCATGATGGTAATTCGTAATGTACGTAATCAATTAACTAGATCGATTAACCCTACATATGCAAATAAAAAATCACATCCAGTAATTAAAATTACAACATAATAAAAAATCTCGACCGACCCACAAAATTACCCCCAAATATAGCAATATCCGACCATATGGCAACACTAAGCAGGATTAGAGAGGTAACCTTGCGACAACCTTGGGGCTGCCACCATTAAAATAAAATACTCCCATTAAACTTGAGCATAGACAAACACCGATGTGTCATGGCTGACAGATTTGAATATTGTTTGTGTGAAAAAAAAATGAAATATTGTTCGCAACTGTAAGAAATAAAATAGATGAATGGTCGTCACGTTGTTGTAGACTGTATGACTATGCCATGTATTTACGGAGCTAAAATTGTACCGCCAGATATTATATTGGTTCAAGTAGTACAAGTTTTTGTCAACCTTAATTTGTTTGTAAAAAACATGTTCAAGACAATTCATTTAAAACAACAAAAACTAGACTTTAAAACAAAGCTTAATTTTCGAGAAAAATTTAGATACAAAAGTAGTCGACCCTTCATAAATCTTACTATTAATATTATAAATGTATAATTAATATTATAAATGTAATTTTAATATTATAAATGAAAAATTAGTATTAGGTATAAATGTAAAATTAATATTATAAATGAAAAATTAATATTAGGTATAAATGTAAAATTAATATTATAAATGTTAAATTAATATTATAAATGTAAAATTAATATTATAAATGTTAAATTAATATCATAAATGTAAAAGTGTGTGTGTATGTGTATTGTGTATGTTTGTTACTCAATCATGTCATAATGGCTGAAGGGGTCGCGGTGAAATTTGGAACAGATGTCGAATATAGTCAGGAACTCAGGAATAACACATAGGTTTTTTTATCTTGCATGACCGCAGGTGAAACTGCTGACTAAAGCTAGTATTTCTTATTTCAAACATGTGAAATATATCACTCTCAAAGCCAGACGTTTTGTTCATTGATATAACACAATAATATCATAAAATCTCAACATCTATGATCATGACATTGAATCATTCTCGAATATTCTTATCTTATTATTTCGTTTGCAATCTTGCTATGATTGCGTTGCAAAGATTTCTCGATAGCCGTATACAAATAGTGTTGTAGACGTCAGCAGATGTGTAAACGTTGTTAATAGTGAATCAATAAGATTTTAAACGTCACTATAATTGTTATCATCATCTATTGCCAAAGAGTTCAATACTGTACTATGAGTGTCCTCTACAAAAGGCTCCCCTTTGATCCTATGCCAGGGAGGGGTTTGTCATAATCTCCACCCTTGGATGGAGAGTTTACCCCAGTTTATAAGGGAATTATCAGAGAGCACTGCTTCCCGGTCTCTGTATAGAAAAACCCCCGCGCGGTTTCACTCGCTCAGGGGGCTTACTCTTGAATCCAATTCCGATCGATCGACATTGGTATTGTGAAATTTCGTACTCTTGAGTTGCAACACTAGCGCCCATTGCATCCGTATTACGTGGATATTGAATGAACTAAATAGTATTGAGTTTAGCTTTATATTCCGTACTCTGAATGCTATTTCAACAGCTACGAAAGGGGTTGTATAGTTTTGACATTAAATGATTATTATTGAGATTTTATTGGATTAAAATTGAGATTGAGTTCAAGAATAAGCTAACTGTTAGCCTTCATCGATAAATCGGCTATCCAGCACAAAAAGAATGTTTCAATTCGAACCAGTAGTTCCTTAGATAAGCGCTTTTAAACAAACAGATAAAATCACCAGCTAAATATAATGAAAAAAAGGTATAAGATACATG